ATATACACACACATAGCTGAAGTTTTTCTTTATAAGCAGAATTTATCTGTGCAAGAACTCATTTTCTGTGATGCTCCCTCCCTGAGCCATTTGCTCTGTTGCTCTCAGTAGTCTGACCCAGTCTTCTCAGTGAGCGACTGGCAGAAGGAGAGGTAGAGTGCTCAGTGAAGCTGGTTTCTGTGAAATAAAACTGCCGTGTGGTAGCACCGTGTCAGTTTGAATGCTTTGAGGCTGCCCGTGAGTGAGTCTCTAAAGAGACAATACTTGGTTTCATAAGCATCTTGTTCCACTTGGCACGCGACGCAGGATTACTGAATGCCGTACACTGTCTCCAGCTCCTCGGCTGCTCGTCCCAGGTACATCTTTCTCAGTTCATCCAACAACTCCTGCAACAAGGGCATATGCAGCATTCTACCTTGTCTTCCTCTACCCGTTGACCCTCTCTCGGCCCACACCCTCAGCATCTGGTAGTGAGCCTCGCGGCAGGATCGGGAGTGATCCAACTCTGCTTGTTCGATCTCTGTATCTTTCACACCAAGAGAACGCACCAGCTGCTTCACCTGCAGCACAGGAACCAGGTCCAGCACAGTGTAGATCAGGTCAGAGACTGTAGGAAGCGAGAAAAAGTAGGGAGTTGTTGGGGGAAGAGATAGGAGTTAGTACAATAGTTTTCTGTATGTTTTGAGTCAAAACACACCGAACTGTTCGTATGGAGCATGTGCTGCTATGTGCAGTATAAAATAACACTCACCCTTGATTTCCAGGGGGACACAGTCAGGCAGATTGGGCGGCTCTGGTTCACTCACAGGACTTGGAGGAACAGCCGTAACGCTCATGTTCTCTGAAGGTTCATCACTTTGGATTAGGACTTGCTATGAGACAAAGGCAGACTAAATGTTAATGACTGTAAACGTCCATCCAGCAGAGAAAGGTAACCACAGACTGTTAAATCAGTGTACCTCGCATGAGTCCTGGGAAACGTCTGATGGTTGGCAGGATGGTTTCAGCATTTTCTTCTTGGTCGACATTTTTGTGGCCACATGGGTGATGAGAACCACAAGCACCAGCGAGACCACAGCCACAACTCCTACTGCAGTAATTATGTTGATAAGATATTCATGTCCGGGCTCACGGCCTTCGTAAGGATCCGAAGAGGCAGATAGGGAACAAAAGATGAAGGTGGATACACGTTAAAAAGCAACAGTTATTCTGACAGTCCAAACTACATTCTATTTGTAAAGAAGCCACATCTAAAAAACTCTACACTTTACTACCTAACTAACTTTATCTTTGCCTCTTTGATGCTAAACAAGAATATTTCTGCAGGGTTCACCAGGTTAAATTCAAGACTTTTTAAGGCCCAGATCACACAGAAAGTGTTTTAGCAGCTCTTTCTGCAAGCATTTTTTTTACTACTGGCATTCAATAATAAAAAAAAAAAAGCAGTGCTGTGCGCCTCGGGTTTTGTAACCTGCAAAATGCTGTCTGTGTGATCGGAGCCTAAAGGAGCTATATGCGACACTCAGAGCATACCTATGATTCAGAGTCTGTTGCTGGATTATCTGCACACAGTTCTCAACATGGAGGTGGTTGAGCCGGAGCTACCAACTCACGGTGCAAACTCTATAAACAGCCCTAACAATGGCAACAGTGCTGACAGATTTAGCAGCGTTAACCAGGAAGGAACTGCTCTGCTGCCGTCCTGATAGTGATTGCCACATGAGGGCAGTGCAGAGTGATGGCAGAGGGGCACCTAGCCACCATGCAAGTGCCAGAACAACAAACAGAGAAGCTCAGATTTCAACACATAGAGGGAGAGTGACTTCATTCTCTGCTCAGGATGCCATTACTCCAATATGTCTTTACATAGCAAATAGCTGTTTGCTGCTGTATCAATGTTTTGAATGACACATACAGAACATTTAAGACCTCTTTAATACCACGTAGAACAGAATGTTATACCCTTGTCATGATTGTAACGGCCTAAGCATTAAAGTATGATGGAAAACTTGTAGGGACAATATGTCCAGGAATTATTTACTGTATCACATTTCTTTCAGTACGTCCTTGCAGTTTATAAAAATAATTCCTAATAAATTAATTAATTAACACCTCCTGGACCTGGATAAGAGACAGATAGTATCAGTGGTTGCGGCAGGTCTGAGGATGCAGACTCCACAAAATAGGATTAAAAGGTTAAGTAAGTGTCTGATTGCCATCCTGGTATTGGATACAAATAATTTTATAACTTAAATGACAGCGTAAAGCAAGGCAAAGGTTTGGTTTGGCTAATATGGAAAGTTAAGTTAGCGTGTACCTGATTTATAACTCCTTTTCTGTTCCAAATGCACAGGAATAGCTTGCCTTTGCAAAATTTTACTTCCCTTAAAATGTCTTTGCTTACATGACTTGGCTTAAACATAAAGTGAATCATGTGAAATGTTCTTAGATATTTAGACATTTTCCATTTTAGCTAATTAATATAACACTGAGACTAAAATGAACAATTTAGACCTAATTGTTTCTCACAAAAAAACAAAACATCTGTGTTAATGTTAGACTGCTGTTCAATTCATGATTTCCACATTACCACAGTGCAGCTGTAGTTCATTACACATCACACGCATCATATTGAAACCGCAGAGTAACACTACATCCTGTTCATTTCATGGCGCCAGTATATTAACTCTTTCACATAAAAAGTGCCCTGTTGTTCACAAGCACTCACCTTTTGTAGTCAGAACAGGAACTGTTGAACAGTGATGTTCACATCCTTTGGTACAACTGTGGGGAAGAGAGAGGACATTTCACAACACTGAGGAGGAAGTTACACATCTAAAGAGGAAGTGATAAACACGAAGGCCGACATGCCTTTTTCTGACACCAGCAAATTTGTTCAAACAAGTGCATGTTAACACTTTGAATATAGTATCCTAGCTAATACCACACAGGAAATTGGTATTAATTGAAGGAAAAATACTGTCTCATCTGCCACAGTTATTATTAATGCGTAAAGAGTGTAGCTAAGGATTATGGGCTGTATGGGCGCATAGTTTCTCTGGGGCTTCCCCCCTTTAATTCTTTTATCAGTTACAAATATCTGTGTCTGTCCACCTCCTAAACAAATTAACTCAACAATCAATAAATGGACACATCCAGAGTTTTTGGGCTTTACCAAGATAAGTTTATTGATTGCCCCATTTATATTTTTACTAGGAATTCCCTATTTAAATGCCTATGTAAGCAGTTTTAAAAACTTTGGCTAAATGTAACTCCCTTGTGACAATACTTTGACGCAAATGTTTAACAGATTTACAAGTAGGCCTATCTTACATAGGACCAGAGGAATTTATGATATTTTAGGGGTCCTCTCTTAGTGTATCAGAAGCCAATGACGTAGCTTATTTAACAAATGATTACTTGTTTTGTAAATGTTAAAATGTCATAAGACCAGTCTCAGTGTCTCGTAACTTCTCTCTTTTGTTGCCAGCGAATGGAAAGATTGAACAAAGTCGGAAGTGTGCCGCAAGTTTCAATTCAACAAAACAACTTCCCTATTAACAACTTTAAATACAAGCATCCCAAAAAACAGGATGGGAACAATGCATGTAGCAAACGCTCATATACGTTAGTGCACTCACTTCTTGCAGCGTTCACACTTGTTGTTGACTTTGTAGTAGTTCTCTTTACATTCACACACAAAGTTTCTCTCAGGTGTACCTGCGCAAAACAAAAATAATCCTCTTTAGACTGACCACAGAATTAAAAAATAAGAAGTTTTTACACAACTAAATATTCATGTAATTCCTAACATTGCCAGATCTTAAAACTTACATGTCTGTTTTTCTTTTTCATCTGGTCCACACGGTGTACATTTGAGACACTCGTATGTTTCTGAGTCGATAACAGACTTGTAATACCCCTCCACACAGCGACAAATCCTGTTTTGGTTTCTTTGACATGGTGATATCTCCTTGTCATATTTTGCTGTGAGAAAGGTTGAAAAGAAAGAAAAAGTGAGCAAAGAAAACCCTAACCTGATACATCACTGACAAATCAAAGAGATGAAGCTGATTCACAAAAACAGTAATGTTGCTTTACCTAAGCATTTTCTGCAACGTCTGCAGTTGGAGGCGAAGTTCATTTCGTCTGTGAATAGTCCCTCAGGACATTGTGTGCACTTACTTCTCTGATTCACACCCTGACACATTTCTACAAGCTTAAAACCTGGAAAACATAAACACGCCATGTTCACACAGTTAGTTCTTTGTAAAATGGATTTAATCGTAGAAGAAGTCTGCTTATGTGATATTATTTCCAATAATGACCACTGTGGATCATATGCATTGTGCAGGAGGCCATAAAATACCTGGAGAACATTTGTTGCAACAAATTCCTTCATTATTGGGATATTCCCCTGGTTCACATGTCACCTCCTCTGAAGTTTGTAACAATGTCAGAGTGGGGATGAACATGCACTGCAAAGTAGAATATACAAAGAAAAGCTTTATTGTCCATTACAAGGAAGTTTATCACGTACTCATGCAATTTCAAATTATTAGGGAAGTGAACTTAAAGTTTTTCCTCACCATAAGGAGCAGCATTGTGCCAACAGGGGCTTTTTTGTTCCATCTTCCTCTTTGCCCAGCTCTCGCCATCATCTTACAGGTTTAGCTCAATCCATCTGAAGCAGCCTGCAAGGAAAACAATCTGTAAAACCCCTAAAACAGCCAATGTAAGAGAGATATAACTCCAGGTACCATGCATACTATTACTGAGTCTACATTTTGCTGAATGATAGACAGACAATATGCTCTGGGCCCACACACTTTCAGTCACAACTGAATATCTGGTGTTTTAAATTTCCTTAAATGAAAAATTAAAATTTTTTTTTAAAAATTTAAAAAAATTTAAAATAAAAAAAAAAAAAGATTCACAAACAATCCTACACCCATGATGCACTTCTCATCTCTAGCACCACCAACAGGCCACAGTCTGTCATACACTACAGGATACAAATTTCCATCAGGCTCAGCTGTACTTTGACATTAATGTATCATGTGTGCTGCTGTGTTTTGGCAAGAATTTGGCAGTACGATATGAAACACAATACAGGGGTTATGATTCAATACATTGCAGTTCATTGCTATAATGTAAGCCAGGCAACATGTTTATTTTATTTTTTTATTTAATTCTAGGAAAATGTCATGGTATAAAGAACAAACCATCATATGCATAAAGAAGCTTACTGACCTGCATTTGTATTTATCACAGTCCCTGTAACATTGCATTGAGAACCAACAAGACAAATGTAGTGCCTCTAATTTATGAAGCTCTTTTGACTGCATTAAATTGCTGCTGGGCTCCATTACTGGCCCAATAAGCCCCCCAGTGCTCCCACTCTCCACTCCACTGCACAACCCCAAGGTTTGCATGTTGTGTGGTATTTTGCTTAAACAAAAAGTACTTCTGTGCATACGGTGTTGAGATCTTATAAACAGATTTTGACACAGGGACAAGACAGGGTCTTGAGTGACACAAATAAAGCAGTGAAAGTGAAAGGTTGGTGTTTCGCCTCGCTATATTTGCTTTTTATTTCAGCGCTGTTTTCACAATTTTTGTAGCTTCCTCTTTAATGCACAGTGCTTACAGTCTGGCACCTAGTCACTATCTTATCATGAAGTCTCGACTTCACCTGAGCTCTCTTATTGGCTGGGTGCTGCACACCACTGCCCGAAGGCTGCAGCCCATGAAAGTCCTGAACGCAGCAACAGAAGAAGGAAATAAGAAATTACAGGCAGAGGGCGGGTTCTCTGCAGATAAATACACTGTCACATATTTCTGTTGGGAAATCAGTGATGACTGAGAGGAATTACTTTTGTTTGAGCTTATAAATTGCTTTTTTTAAAAATCCTGCAAGGCCTTTATTGTTTCAGTTGATAAGTGCTTTCAGCCGGGGCTTTCAGGGCCAGTTAGTAATCCAGACTTGAGTACACCTGTGGCTGAAAACATAAAACTTTTGATCTGAAAAGGTAGACTAAGTCGGATAAGCTGCATTTAAGATGTCCTCAAATGACCAGACTAACACTTCTGATTTTAGTAACAACGTGGTCTTTATTACTCAGGCACTGACTCAAGTCATATTTTAGAAGAACAGCAAAGTTTTCTCTCTATTTTACATCCACTAATAAACAGTGTTTTTTGGTGTGTAATGAAAAGCCCTTTGTGCATAATTTCAGTGATTAAAAGTATAAAATCTCCATTAAAGAACTCCTGACCCTTGACCTGAGAACCTTAAAGGAACAGTGTGTGAGATTTACTGTGCATTCACACCAAAAGCGTCATAAGCGTCATAAGCGGCTGGCAGCCATTCATTTTCAATGTACGCTTGCTATGAAGGGCGTCAGGGGCGTCGGCTGCAGCGAGCGGCGCGATGCCAGCAACCAGAGCGTCAAGTAGAAGTTGAGAGAAGCTGAACTTTATGCAAATGAGCAGCACCGCTGCCGAAGCAGCAGCCAATTGCACACCGGGATTCGGGTACGGAGGTCTGGGCTCTCCTGGAGCTGTACGAGCCAGTGAAATTCACGATGGATTTGCTGGGTTTGCAGGACTCTGTGGACCCAGATGGCCCGACGGCTCCGGGCCTTGTGTTTCCTCAGCAAATACGCTGATGCAGTACAAAGGAGGCTTCCGAAAGTGCGATTAATGAGCTCCCGCTTATTTACCACCAATTACATTTCTCAGTGGTCCTACGTGCCAACAGGAGAGTAAAATCATAATTATAAAGGACTCATAAAGGCTATATTGACTGTGTTTATTAGCGTTATTTTAATTGTGCAATGAAAGTCATGGATAATACAAAGTGAAGACATAAATGATATATTTGTTCATCAAGTGAACAGCCGTGTCAGCCTTGATGGACACATCTGCAGCAGCCGGCCCCGCCCCTTTGGCCGCTGCAAGCGCCTGCTGGAGCTGCTGCCAGGCAGCGCGATGCCAGCGACCTGAGCGACCGCTGGCGCTCATGACGCTTTTGGTGTGAATGCACAGTTAGGGGGATTTAGTAGCACGTAGTGGCGAGGGCTGCAGATTGCAACCAGCTGAAACGTCTCCCGGTTAGAATTCCTTTCATGTTTATTGTTCAGAAGGTTTTTACTGGGAGCTGAATAATCCGCAGAGGTCTCTTCATCTCCAAAACAAATGGACCCTATGATTTAAACTGCTAAAAACACTGAATAAAGCGGTTTCCTGTTAGAAATCTGCATTTCAATCAATCAATCAATCAATTTTATTTATAAAGCCCAATATCACAAATCACAATTTGCCTCACAGGGCTTTACAGCATACGACATCTCTCTGTCCTTATGACCCTCGCAGCGGATAAGGAAAAACTCCCCCAAAAAAACCCTTTAACAGGGAAAAAAAACGTTTCTGTGATGCTGTTAGGCATGTTGGAGACGGGCCCCTAACCCATCACTTGCTGACATGTGCTCACCTTTTTTTCTGAGATACTTTCAAATCCAGATGTTCAGAAGGTTTTTACTGGTAGCTGAATCATCTAAACGAACAGACCCCGTGATTTAAACCGGAAAAAACACTGAATAAAGCAGTTTCACTTTAGAAAGTCAGAATTTTTCTGGCACTGTTCGCCGCAGAAGGGCTGTTAACTCAAGACCTTCTCATTCCAACTCAGCAAACAGTCGACTTTCACGTCTAAATATGACGTGCTAGGTAACCTCCTGTATCTGGTGCTGACGTCCCAGGATGGCGTGTTAATTTACGCCTGTGTCATGTATTGTGTTTTATCAAAATACACTTACGTTTTCACAGGAAATGTACAGTTTCTGTTTCATAATATTCTTACAATGCAGGTAAAACACTTCATTTTCATGTTTATTTCCTTGTGTAACAAAAGCACGTGGTTGTGTTTAGAAGTAAACATCATGGTGAACAGCAGGCTCCCAGGTGAAAGTCTGGGGTTTGTTTGACCCATCCGCTTCCCCTCCAACCTGCCTTATAGAGACTTTCCAGCTCTTTATACGATGTAGTTGCCGGCAGTGTTACAAACTGGCAAAATCACTGATGGTAGCGGTGGTATTTGAAGAAATACCAGAGTCAAAACGGGCTGGTTAACTGCAGTGGCTGACACGAAAACACACACGGACCCATCTACAACCAGTGTTTGGTTTGTCAGTTCTGGGCTACTGTAGAAAAATGCCGGTGCAACATGGCAGACTCCATGGACAAGGACCTGCTCCCTATGTAGATATAAACGGCTCATTCTAAGGTAACAAAAACACAACGATTCTTATTTACAGGTGATTATACACTAAAGAAAACATACTAATTATATTCCATGTCTGCCAATTTATCCCTCTAAATCCTACACACTGGACCTTTAAAATAATTTACCGAACCAGTTGACACACAATAAACCTGGGGCTCTCACGGCTCTGGGACCACTTAGTAATCCAGCCTTGAGTACACCTGTGGCTGAAAACATTAAACTCTGTATCTGATAAAAGATGAAGTCTGATAAGGCGATACCGACATGTCCTCAAATGACCAGACTACCACTTCTGATTTTAACAGCGTGGCCTTTATTACTCAGGCATTGACTCAGGTCATAGTTTAGAGGGACAGCAAAGTTTTCGCTCTATTTCACATCCATTAATATACACAAAATGTTTTGTTGTGTATAAATAAAAGCCATTTAGTGATTATAAAAAGAAATCTAACTAAATGCCATTAATGAACTCCTGACTTTTGACCTGATTATATTAACAGGATCAATTCACCCATCCCACATACTTGGCATCTAAGCAACACTTAGTCTTAGTCTTAGATTTAGTTTAAGACACCCACCTCTGACATGTCTGCCTCTTACACAATAAAATGGAGGTCAAGGAAACTTCATGTGAGGTGCTGATTAGGAATCAAGATAATCCATACACTTTGCTATGGACAGGTTTAACTCTCTGACAAGGAAATAGGCCAAATGAAAACAGTTGACAGGTCTGTGGATGAAGCTGAGTAACCATTATATTGGGGAGGGGGCTGAAGTTTCAGAGGTGGTTTTCTTCACACATAGCAGATAAAACGAAACTATTTGCAGGGTCGGTGAGAGGTAAGTAGTAGTTTTTATTACACTGAAAGTCATGTGAGGTTGTCTCGTTATATGGTAAATGCATGGATGGATTCTCCTCTGCCATAACTTTTTATTAGTAACCAAAGGGCATAAACACACATTAAAAATCAATATAGGTCAGGATATTTAGTGAGGTATGTAGTCAATAGAGACTTAAGACTGAATTGGTCTGCAGCCAGTTTAAAAAACGACTCTGCATATTTCAGCTCCACTGGTTTGGCAGCTTCGCCCCTCACTTCCCCGTCGCTCTGACACACACACACAGTGCACTTAACTTCTAACTTAAAACCCCTCAAAAGTCAACCTGACAAACCTACGTGTTTGCTGATAACTTTGACGTATGTCAGAGCAATACATACACTCAAGTTTTTACTGTTTTTCTTTCTTGTCTCATCGGTTTCGGTATAGCTACACACCACACGCCTACCACTACCACAGTCTCAAGTCTGATATGAATCTCTTCCCACAGACTGACACGCAGAGGTATTTTACCGTCACTTACCTGGACAACCACTGTCACAGCGAGGGCTTTGTCCTTCACTTCAGGTCCATATACGACAATTAAATGTATATTTAATTCAAAATATATCAGCTTTTTTTTTTTACCAAAGCAGAGCGACGTGCCGTTGCCCCTTTCGGTAGAGCACGAGCGGAGGCGGACTCAGACGGGAAATATAGCTGCGTCACGAGACCGTTTGTGTGGCAGCAGGCATCTGCAGCAAAAACACACAGAAACCTATTAGGCAATAATGAGCAATACACACAGGTGAGCGCCCGTAAGTCTACAGGTGACTCACTCTACAGATGCATGGATATACACATATATGATATTTACATTCATTTCTCCTCAATGAATATTAAACTGCCTTTAAAGGTAAATTAGAGGAAGAACTACTTACATTTTAATCAATGTTGCAAAATGGCCCTAAATAACCCCTTAATTGACTTTATTTAAAAAAAAACTTTATGTCAATGTCAGGGACACAATAAGAATTTGCCACTGAAACAGGTCCAGTGTTCAGGATTAACCCTTTGAGACCTGGAATGGCATCCATTTTCTTGTGCTGCATTTAGGTGCCTTCCACAAGTATTGAGACTTTTAAACCTGGAGCAAATTGGTTTGATTTCTGTCGAAAACATGGGGAAAAGGGCAATGAGCAACTCTGCAAGAAATGCCCCACAAATTGCAAGAAATTAGTAGATTTAAAAGATTGTAAAAGCTCAGGGAAAAAGTCCATGAAACTGTGATTATGATTATTCATTCACTTTCTTTAACCGCTTATCCTGTTGGAGGTCACAGGGGGGGCTGGAGCCTATCCCAGCTGACATTGGGCGAGAGGCAGGGTACACCCTGGACAGGTCGCCAGACTATCACACGCTGACACACAGAGACAGACAACCAATCATGCTCACATTCACATCTACGGGAAATTTAGAGTCACCAGTGAACCTAACCTACATGTCTTTGGACTGTGGGAGGAAGCCGGAGTACCCGAAGAAAATCCACGCTGACATGGGGAGAACATGCAAACTCCACACAGAAGGGCTCCCCCACCCTGGGTTCGAACCACGAACTCTCTTGCTGTGAGGCAACAATGCTGACCATTACTAACCATAGCCTATTTATAATTATGATCATGTTAGATGCAGTGGTTAGCATTGTCGCCTCACAGCAAGAGAGTTTGTGGTTCAATGCTGGGGTGGGGCGCTTGCACCCTTCTGTGCAGAGTCTGCATGTTCTCCTCGTGTCAGTGTGCCCTCTCCAGCTTCCTCCCCCAATCCAAAGGCATGCACATCAGCTTAATGAGATGACTCTAAATTGATCATATGTGTGAATGGTTGTCCGTCTCTTTGTGTCAATAAATTAATCATAATATATTTAATATGATATATTTAAATATATTTTAATCACTTTTTCAGGTTATTTTTATTTGATTTTTTTTATACTTATACCGTTTTTGCTTTTTTTTTTTACACTAATTTTGTGCAAATTTTTGGGTAATATCTTCTTAAGCTGCTCATTGCCTTCTTCTCAAACAGTCTCACTCCTGCTGCCTAAACCTAACCAACCCAACCAAAGAAGTCAACGAGTACTAGCCAATCAGAGGAAGAGTGGAGCAGGCCATGCCTTCGCTATCTGACAAACCAAACACTGGCTCTAGATAGGGCCCACGTCGGCCTCCATAGTTCTCCTACGAGCTCGGCACATGGGAGAAGTTTCAATTCTCAGTTCTCAAACTCATCAGTAGATGCCACTAAATCCTACACACTAGACCTTCAATCTTGAATCTTAATTTCATCACAATTCCACTTCTCCATTTAAGTTCTCAATTTTTATTTCCATTCAGCAATTACACTCACTGATTGGCTAGTTAATAGCAGAATCGGGTTTAGAAACTTGCCTTGGTATTTTGATACAAATCAATAAACATATTGGGTGGGGGGGGGGGGGGGGGGGGGGTTCTGAGGCAGTCAATAATTACAATTATAAAATGAACAATAACAAATATGTAGCTACATATCTGTTTTTAAAAGGACAGTTCACCCCAAAATCAAATACAGGCTACGTATTTTTCCTAGATAGCATTTGGCTTGTGGTGCTCAAACCTCAACCCTGATGTCTCTGTCCAGAAATCATGACCAGGTCGCTCAAGATAATCCACAGGCCTCATCGTCAGCAGTTTCATGTAGGAACTTTGAGCACCACGAGCCCCGTGCCATCTAGTTTCATTATATTTAAGAGAAGGCAGACATCTCTATGGCTGATAACTCCAACACTCGGCAACTCACACCAAAACAATCTAGACTTATAAATAGCACTACAGATTAGAGGAATATAAATACTGTCTCTTTAAAATGGAAAGCGCTGCACAGTATTTAAAACAAAAGGACGCTGTGCAAAATATTGATCTAGGAACATGCAAATGTTCACAGTGTAAAGTAGAATATTTGCAATATGCAGACACAATGAGCACATTTTTAGGTATTCACTTGGGGGCATTTGATAGATTTATTAGATATCTGCATGCATCGCTAACTAGTTAATACACCTGTAAACTATTTTTAAAATTCCTCAATTACCAAGGCTTAAATAAATCACTTAAAACCATGAATTTTAAGTCATTTAATGTTGGAATTAAAGCTATCAAGAAGATAAAATGAAGGTTCACAATGAAAATTCAGCATCCCTGTAGGTCCACGTAGCATCAAGTAAGTGCAGACAATATAGTAAGAATAACTTGATGCACTGTAATTACGGGAGCTATAAATGGAGTAGGCTGGTACTTTGTTCAGTGGGCCAGCAGAGTGTAGCCTCACGAGACTCTGCTGGTGTACAGTACATGAAAGAGCTCAGTCAGCAGAGCAAGACAAGTGCTTCCTCAGAAAAACCACATCCTTCCTTTTGAGTGAGCAAACAAAAAAATGTGTCTTCATCTCTGTGTGCTTCCTCCTCCCCTCTTTCTCGCTCTGTCTCTGGCTTTGTCTCATGCTGTCAGAAACTCACACCGGCACATTTGGCATAACGCACAGACACATTAAGTTCTTTCATGCAACTGCAGGCACTCACACTAGTGAGTTTCATACAGCCGGTGGGGATGGCAGCTCTGAGTCTGTGTGTCGATTTTGCATTTCAAGCCAAGTAAAAACTAGCTTTTGTTTATTAAGTGTTTGGTTTGTTACACCAACTTTGACATGTTTCTGGCAAGTTCTAATTAAACGTATGAATCCCTTCGGTCAAGCAGCCTAATACTGAAACCTCAAGATAAGCATGACCAGGTTTGCTCTAAGTCACTTCAGTGATTTTAATGCTCAGTCATCTCTCTTCCAGTCATCGCTGTACTCTGTTTGAGTGGTGTCGAGAGCAACACTTGGGCCACAGAGGCAGCCCCTTCAACCTTAGGACCCGTTTCACAGTTGACAGGAGGTCACGTGTTGTGGCCTGGTTTCTGTGAAAAAATGACGAAGGTGGTGAGAACAGAGAAAATGACAGCTGAATACTGGACGCGCTGAGACGAAGAAAAGCTGCCACTCTGTGTCTTATTCAAATGTTACTGAAGTGGAGGCTGTTTGAATGAAGAAAAGAAGAAACATTTGCTGTTAAGAAAAATAGAAATTGCAAGATTCAGTCAGCACCAAATGCAAATCAGCTGTCATTGCTTAACCAATGACACAGAAAGTTTTCACACCTGGGAGGTTTCTACTGTAATAAAAGGAATTTCCCATAGACATATTACTGTTTATTGCTGGCAACATTTGTTTGTTTGTCTGAAAAGCTGTCTGTTGTGCACTTTAGCTTCTCATTCACGATGAATAATGTGACTTTTGATATCACCTTTACATTTGATATTGTTGGTCTGATATAAAGCTCTTTGTATTGCTCAATCCTGTGTGTCATAATGTTGCATAGCAGCTCATCAGAATAATGTGACTTCTTGGAATAATGTTTATCTCCCCAACGGTTTTTTGTAAGAGCAACAGAACAGCTTGGAGTCAAATGACTGGTGTATGATATTTTCACTGAAATGACCTCGTCATCCAAGTTGAAGACAGAGAGGAAGAGGCAGTGACAGATGTAAGAAAGAGAGCGATGAAGAGTGCTTGCAACCAAAAGCCTGATTTTGGATGAAACGAGAGAGACGTTGCCTGTGGAAAAACTGTGGAGGCTGGTGGAGGGCTTGTTTTTGTGCACAGACTGAGCCAGGGGGTCGCAGCAAGAGATGAAGACAGGATGAACATGCAAGGCACAGAAATCTCAAAAGGCACCATCAAGATGTCAGGCTTTCAATATGAGTCATCGCTGACATTTTATGAATAGTCCCCTGATACACTTCTGGTCCCCTGTTCAGTCTCACACTCAGAGGGTCCCGGGTTACATCTTGTCTCACATTCTCATCCAAGGTAAGTAAAGACTACGAGAGACAACCGTAGCTGTCAGTCAGAGCTGTGTTTAAAGCTTCCTGTTATCTCCTGTAAAGTTAGAAAGTTGTTTGTATTCATGCAAGGCTGATTTTATCTTTTATTACCATTGTATGTTATCTGAATAGTGTGTGTACAGTGTGCTGTGGAGCTGCAGTGTCTGTGATGACTTGTGTGAATACCATAAAGCGCTACAGACCTTTGTCATGTTTTTAGAGATGTATGTTGTCTCGGTGTCTGTTAGTATGTAAATAAATCTGTTTAATATATCTGTTTCCTCCACCTCTTCTTTCTGCTCGTCCTCATCCTCCTCCTTCTTTCTCTTCTTCCCAGATGCAGCCACTCTGTGCTTTTACCTTCCTGTGCACTCTCTCTTTCCTCTCTCCTGTGCTGTCTCGACAGTGCACTGACACAGAATATGCCTGGCCAATGGACGGACCCCATTTATGCTGTCACATGTGTCCACCAGGTAAAACAACTTCTTTTCGTCTTGATGGATTTCACAGTTTTGCTGCAAACAGGTTAAAAACTGAAAAGTCACTGTGTTTATTCCAGGTAAACATATGGCTTGGCGTAAACAGGATATTTGTTCTACTGATTGTGTACCTTGCACGGAAGGCCTATACACTGAAAAGTACAACGTGGACATGACCTGCGAAGTTTGTGTAAACTGCAATAAACGTGAGTAATCTCACAGCTTTTTGTTTTGGGTGTTAAGTATGCTTGAGATGTGAAGTGTGTGAAAATCCTGCCTATAGAACAGAAACAGCCTCATTACAGTTCAAGGATGCTTTAACTGGGTGGATTTGCAGAGGTTTTAACCCTCCTTTACTTTAACAATTTGCCCTGTGATAACGTATCATAACTCAGGACACGGAAAATAAATGTTTAATGTGATTATTATACTGTATCATTATCAGAGATGTAGGTTGAAGAAGAATGGTAGAAATGTTAAAGCTGAAACAGGAACAGAGCAGTAGATGCCAAGTGGTATGGTTTTGATTTGAAGTGATTAAACATTACAACAAAAATACAGCCCCCCCCCCCCACACACACACACACACCGCCTCCCAGTTTATCTGGTGTGTGTCATGTCTTCTGAGCACAACATGTGAGTGAATCATCACTTCTGTGGAGTTCTGACCAGTCCAGTTACTACACCAAGTTAGTTGTTACTCAACTTTGTCTCTAAATCATGATTTCAGAGAAGCTTGAGTCTAGAAATCTAAGGTCACATATGCAGGGGGATTTCCCATTTTGTGTGTCATGGTGGGATACAGTCAGAGAGAGATTAAAAGCACAAGGGGAGGGGGGGGCGGGGGTCTGAGAAACCCTCCGTGTACCAACTCGGGAGGTTATTATGGTGGGATTCTGCAGCAGTGTCAACACCAGCACAGGCAGCACAGCCCACCAATCGTGGTTAAGACAGGAGGAGGTAGAGGCCATCGTCATGTCAGCGGAAACAAGAGAAAAACACAGAAAAGTGGTAAACATCGGAAAGAGCTCAGACCTGCTACAGGTGAGCAAAAACAGCCGGTTGTGCTTATTCGTAAATGTCACTGTGGAAAACACAGAAGGGAGAAAACAGAAGTCTGTGATTCTCAGTCTGAATTTTGACCTGTCTTTGATGCACCAAGACGTTCTCTTTACATATGGTAATCAGAGCATTAGCATATGTCAATCCAGTTTTATAGTGAAGCTGTAAACAAACCTTTTACAGTCTGACATAATATCACGCTGAAGGCGATGAAGGTGGGTGTTCAAAATGTCAAAAACCTTTAATCCTACACACACACACACAGGGGCTTTATGTCAATTAACATCTATGGAAACTAATTCAGGTGGAAATGACTCCCACACAGAAACCTCATACACCGATCTTCAATACAGCAGTATTAATTTACATTTGGTTATACTTTGATCTCTATCTGGGTGTTAAAGGGCAACTTCGGCAAAGTTTAATAAATGTGCCGTCTTTAAAACTGGCATTTTTCAACCTGGACCCTATTTTCCTGTGTGTCTGTGCCTAAGTGAGTGATGTGAATGACAAGTTTTGAAACTGGTCCAGTATTGAGAGAGAGGGCTGCAGCCACTTAACACCCTTCAGGCTACTTTATGTCAGGGCGTTCAACACTTTTGAAAAGTGTCACTCGACAGACGTATTTTCAACAGGAATACGGTGTTGCTTGACACTTTTCTTTTATGTCGTGCACCTGGAGATTTTGGGTTACTATCGTCACCATGGCGAAAGTAGCTTTTAATCCACACTGACTCCGACCGACATTCAGTGTCTTTGTCCAGAGAAGCACCCCTCTGTCAGCAGCAGTTCCTGTGGAGCTGAAAGCACAGAGGCCAGCCAAATTATCTTGCCAGCCTGACAGCAGATATTTACTTAACCAAAATATCTTTTATGTCAGCGCCACAAGAGGAAATCAGCAGAGTTCATATTGATTGATTCATTGATTTTATTTACCAGCCCTCTATAGCAAGTGAGGGAAATCTGCCACTCAGACTGGGAGCTGATCAATCAATACATACAGTACAGGCCAAAAGTTTGGACACACCTTCTCATTCAATGCGTTTTCTTTATTTTCATGACTATTTACATTGTAGATTCTCACTGAAGGCATCAAAACTATGAATGAACACATGTGGAGTTATGTACTTAACAAAAAAAGGGTGAAATAACTGAAAACATGTTTTATATTCTAGTTTCTTCAAAATAGCCACCCTTTGCTCTGATTACTGCTTTGCACACTCTTGGCATTCTCTCAATGAGCTTCAAGAGGTAGTCACCTGAAATGGTTTCCACTTCACAGGTGTGCCTTATCAGGGTTAATTAGTGGAATTTCTTGCTTTATCAATGGGGTTGGGACCATCAGTTGTGTTGTGCAGAAGTCAGGTTAATACACAGCCGACAGCCCTATTGGACAACTGTTAAAATTCATATTATGGCAAGAACCAATCAGCTAACTAAAGAAAAACCAGTGGCCATCATTACTTTAAGAAATGAAGGTCAGTCAGTCCGGAAAATTGCAAAAACTTTAAATGTGTCCCCAAGTGGAGTCGCAAAAACCATCAAGCACTACAACCAAACTGGCACACATGAGGACCGACCCAGGAAAGGAAGACCAAGAGTCACCTCTTCTTCTGAGGATAAGTTCATCCGAGTCACCAGCCTCAGAAATCGCAAGTTGACAGCAGCTCAGATCAGAGACCAGATGAATGCCACACAGAGTTCTAGCAGCAGACCCATCTCTAGAACAACTGTTAAGAGGAGACTGCGCAAATCAGGCCTTCATGGTCAAATAGCTGCTAGGAAACCACTGCTAAGGAGAGGCAACAAGCAGAAGAGATTTGTTTGGGCCAAGAAACAAAAGGAATGGACATTAGACCAGTGGAAATCTGTACTTTGGTCTGATGAGTCCAAATTTGAGATCTTTGGTTCCAACCGCCGTGTCTTTGTGAGACGCAGAAAAGGTGAACGGATGGATTCCACATGCCTGGTTCCCACTGTGAAGCATGGAGGAGGAGGTGTGATGGTGTGGGGGTGTTTTGCTGGTGACACTGTTGGGGATTTATTCAAAATTGAAGGCACACTGAACCAGCATGGCTACCACAGAGTCCTGCAGCGACATGCCATCCCATCCGGTTTGCGTTTAGTTGGACGATCATTTATTTTTCAACAGGACAATGACCCCAAACACACCTCCAGGCTGTGTAAGGGCTATTTGACCAAGAAGGAGAGTGATGGAGTGCTGCGGCAGATGACCTGGCCTCCACAGTCACCGGACCTGAACCCAATCGAGATGGTTTGGGGTGAGCTGGACCGCAGAGTGAAGGCAAAGGGGCCAACAAGTGCTAAACACCTCTGGGAACTCCTTCAAGATTGCTGGAAAACCATTTCAGGTGACTACCTCTTGAAGCTCATGGAGAGAATGCCAAGAGTGTGCAAAGCAGTAATCAGAGCAAAGGGTGGCTATTTTGAAGAAACTAGACTATAAAACATGTTTTCAGTTATTTCACCTTTTTTTGTTAAGTACATAACTCCACATGTGTTCATTCATAGTTTTGATGCCTTCAGTGAGAATCTACAATGTAAATAGTCATGAAAATAAAGAAAACGCATTGAATGAGAAGGTGTGTCCAAACTTTTGGCCTGTACTGTATATGGTTAATAAGTTAAACACACATAAACAGCAGGAGACTTGTGTGATTTGCTGTCTGTGCAGATTACTCTTTACTAAAAACAACAGAAACAGACTCACAGGGTATCTCTGGTTACCATGGTGACAACTGAAACCTTTTGCTTAAGCATAAATTGAAAATGTGTATTTAATTTCTGTCATGCAACACTTTTCAAAAGTTTAAAGCGCTGCCATGAATCAGACTTCAATGTAACCGATTGGGGCAATCGTGCACTGTCACTGTGCGTCCATTAAAAAACTGTCATTATGCCACAGACATCCTCAGATTGTTATTATAAATGTCTCTTTACCTTTAGTTGATCTGGTCTGTTTGTTATTGTGTCAGTCACGCTGAAGGAAAAGTCTAGTTCTCTCACAAGGCGTGAACTTCGGCTCAAAAAAATGACGGCGACCATCAGATTCAAAGGCCTCATCCACATAGTGGAAATCAGCTAAATAATCACCCATGACTTGAATATCTTTAAGACAACACTAAGCTATGATTTCTGCACACAATTCCAGCTTTGTCTTGCTGCAAGAAATCATGTCTTGAGTGAGACTTAGACAGAATAATAAACAGACCGGACCAAGAAAGTAATGAAAAGAAACTTCAGATACTTATGATAACAATCTGAACCTCTCTGTAGCAAAAATAACCCCTTTTAATAAACATAAAGTGACAGTGCACAATTGCCCCATCTGGTTATATTGCGGGTGTCATGCGAGTGCCCGCTGCAGCTCTTCTCTCTAACACTGGACCAGTTTCAAAAACTATTATTCACATCAGTCACTTGGACACAAAGACATGGGAATATAGGGTCCGGGCTGAAAAATGTTGACGTTTTCCTTTAACAATTTGCAAGGATTTGGATGTGCAAACACAGTTTCGAAGGAGGCACATATTTCAAACATTAAAACTAATATTTTCTTACAGTATAACATTTTCAGTTCTTAAATCCAGTAAAATGGCATCAGTTACTGTGTATCTACTGCTTTAAATCTGCTTTCACCCATACATTTACACTTGATTCTGTCATCTTCAGCTACATTCATATCATATAATAATCCAGTGTAGGCATCCTGGAATAAAAGATAAAATAAAAGACTTCATTGTACTGTAATGGATCATCATGGGACAGCAGCGTGAAGTCAGGTAATAGACCATCCTTAGAATCCTGCTGAAGAGCAAGCTGCTATAGCTCCAAAAGCTTCACAGAGGGGGGGAAATGCAGACTGTTTGATAATCTGTTCTGAATATTAAATTTAAATGGTGCTTGTGGAGACATGAAGTTGTCAGCATTAGGAAACAGTGGAGTTTATTCAAGGTAAGAGTGTCCTGAAGACGAAACATGCAACACATGTAAAAACGTGTCTACATTTGAGGCTGTAATTAGCTCAACATGTGCGGTTACACCAGTTTATATAAAGAATTCAACCACTAAGATCTGAAGTTCTCTCTGAACTGTGACCATAAATGACACAAATTTACAGCTATAATGGTTGTCATTGCTGTAGTTTCATAAACTGTGTGAGGCTGCTTAATAATACAAATGTTTTGTAATGACTCTGGCTCCATTGAACTCATAGAGGTAATTTTTTTTTAATCTTTTTTATTTTGTGAATTCATATTTAAGTATGACGGTTAAAGCATTCTGTGAGACAAATGACATTTGATCAAAGTAAGATAGAGCTTTCACTGAGAAATACCAGTTTTATCTGTCTCTAAAGAACAGGTGATAATGTGGTAATATAACCGTCCCATGACTTAAAACCAGTCTTTACCTACCGTGCCTTGTCTGTGAGTCATTTATGTTTTTCTGAATTATGTCATGTTTTACAGGCATATGCGTGTGCTTGTCACACACGCGAACACACTCAGAGTTATGACTGTACATTATCTATCAATGATGACTGTTTTTTTGTTTTTTTTAAACAGCAAACATGGAGTATAAGAGAAATTGCAGCACCACTCATAACGCTGTGTGTGGATGCAAAGCCGGCTACGCATGCAGAGACCCGTCCTGCAAAGACTGTGTGCCAATACCAACCTCCACCATCAAAACAACACTCCCTCCATCCACTGCAGGTACCTCAGAGTCAACTGCAGTGTTACACATGCTGTTCAAATGCACATGACTTTTATTAGACTTCTCTATCAATCTACACACTCAACTAAACTTTCATACAGATGTTTGGAAAAAAAAACAGACTTGTAATATAAAAGCAGATCTTTTGCTTAAATAAATTTGACATATTATACAGAAAACACTGAGAAACAAACTTAACACCAGGGTGAAAATCGTATTGCCAGAAACAACCTTAGCAGAGGACTTTTATTTTGACCAAATTAAATCCATTTACACCATAAACTGATGCAGAAAAGGCACAAATGGTGCATAAATATTCATTAGAATGCAGGAAATCAAGTGTTCAATGCTCAAAATGTTCTGGCAGAGGACCCCAACTTCATATTTGCCCCTCGCATTGATGACAGGAAACCTATGCCCTTGGTACTACAACCAACCTACTTAAGAATTCTCAGGGTCAATTAGGGTTTGACTCTGTCATTTTGGACCTGTGAAGACCTCTAGAGCAGTGGTTTTCAAAAAGGAACCTTTTTCCTATCACTGAGTAAACTGACACCCCCTGACTAACTGACATTTTTTGTGGGTGTTTCATATTGTATTCAATGCATAACAATGACAGTACAGCACAACTGACAAACTGCACACTAAACACGAATAGTGAGTGCAAAAACTGCAGGGAGTTTGTGTAAAATACGCAATTTAGATTCATTTTGAGCAGATTATTTCTACATATTGCACCAGAGATAAGTTTTCCTGATAGTTTTAGGAACTTTTTATACAGTTCTTTGTCTGTATTGTGTTTTATCTACATACTTAATGGGCTTCTTCTTTGAAAAATTCCATGTTTTTGTCTCCCTGACACTTGGCCATTGTTCACAAACACAAGATGAGAGTGTTTAGCAGAGTGAAGGCTCTGTCAGTACAGCTTGTGTTCAGGTCTTTACTGTGCCCTTATCTTGTGAGATTATCTTTAAGTTTATATCTTTAATAATAATTTTAATGTTAAAGATAATAATTTTGTTTAGTTTTCTTTGTAGAAACAAATGAAACCCTGAGATACAGACCTACTGTATATGTATTTTAAAAGTTTCCTTACACCCTCTGAAATCAAAAGGTGTCATGACCCCCTGTGACGCTTTGGCGACCCCTAGTGGGGGTTGAGCTGTCAGAGGTACTACGCAGATTTAGAGACCCTATTTGATTTCTTCTGTTTCTTCTGTTAGAATTTTTGTGTGATGTTATATTTTGTTCCTCCTGCCTCATCATTTCATGCTCGTACAGCTCTGTACAAAGTTGGCCTTTGTTCTTTTCAGGCACTCAGATTTTCCTAGATACGCCCCTGGTTATGACCACTTTAAAGAAATTCACTAGAACTGCAACTATGGCAACATGTTGCACTGTAGCACTACAGGAAGCACTATAACCATAGCAACATGATGTCCAGCATTCTGCAGCGGTTGCCAAGGTCAACTGAAACAGCTCTGTGCTGATGTAATAATTAAAAGTAACACAGATAAACCAGCTGATAATCATGTTGATAAAGTATTTTACATGTTGGCGACTGATTGTTTACTCTGCAGTCTCCATGGAGTCAGGGTCACACACACACACAAGGTGACATGAGTTAATTATAAATCGTGTTGCGTGGTTATAAATCCGGGCTTCCTGACCAGCGTGTTAAAAAAAAGACAACTCAGAGTGAGCTCTCTGGCCAACCTGAACCATAAACAGTTCAATATTTCCATTGAACCATTACATGTGAGCTGATAAGTTTTATCTCTTCCTCTCCAGCCCTGAAGCCTGGAGCCCTCACCACACTCTGGGAACCTTCTCAGCCAATCAAAGGTAGAGTGAGTTACTGGTTCTGTCTCTGCCAACTGAAACCAGTGGGGGTTCATGTAAATCTTTCAAAAATGTCTTACTTACATATTCTTACAGATACGGCATGGTTCCTGGTGATCATCGCTCTCCTGTGTATAGGACTTGCACTTGTAGTTTTGACAAAAATCAAGCCCTTTCTGCGTTGGATCAAATCCAAACAGGGTTTGTGGATTATTATGAAGCTTGTAACACTGCAGCAGTACACTAACACAGGAAGCACATTGAGCTTTCTATCAATTCATAATGTGTATGAATTTATGTCTTTTTATCATCTAAGGGGATTATTACCTCATTTTTTAATCTAATTTCTTTAAAACGTTACTCTATTCTGTTGTTACTCAGGATACTTTTTGGCTAAAGAAGCTGCACCAGTGCTACAGGGCTCCGAGGACGAAGAAGTTTCCACTCCTGTTCAGGAAGTGCTCGGGAAATGTGATCAATGTGATGTCTGAGTTTAAGACCCTGAACTTCGATGAGCAAGAATTTGACAAGCAGACATTTAGTGCAAAACATCTCTTGTTGTTTTCAACGTTTGTGACAAATGGGAGCAAACGTCACTTGGCCCGTGCTGATGAATGGAAACTACAGAAAATGTTTCAAGACTGATGCTGTTTTCCGGAAGGAGATGTGACTTTTTGACATCTGTGACGTTAAGACGATAAAACTGTACAAAGAAACACACAGATAACAAATCTGAAAGACACTGAGTGAGACTGTGACGGTAATATATGAGTTGCAAATTGTGCAGTGCGTTGCTAAATGGTGGTATGTACTATGGTACACCAAAGTTAAACATATTCCACATCTTTACATTTCAGCCCTGTCTCACAGAAAAATGTGAAATGGACACGAACTCTTAATGCATGATGTGGTGGTGGGCACAAAATGCACCACAAAAAACAATGCCACAAAGTCAGTTTGGATCTTTTGTTGTGGTGGACACACCAGTTAAGTATACAGCACAAGAAAATCTGCGTAAGATTGTTGGGAGGGATGGTGGATGTGTCAAACAAACATGGACTTTCAACCAGGAGACCGCTGTGTGTGTCCTGTGTGAACTGATTATAGAAAACAAGTGTCGCACACTCTGGCTTCAAATGCATTTCTTTTATTTTGTGTCCCATGAGAGACCAAAAGTCAGCTTTACATAACTTTACGTAACTATGCAAAGTACTTTATGTAAGTACTACATGTAACCACACAAAGTATGTAAGTTTACGTCACATACTTAGTTATATTACCGAAAACATGTTTTTTCCCCTCTAAACTTTAAAGGTGCAGTGTGTAGGATTTAGAGCCATCTAGTGGTGAGGATGGCAAATTATAACTACCTGACGATTCTCCCATGTGCCAGGCTCAAACTCCTGATTAGAATTGCTTCAGTGTTCATTGTTTAAGATGTTTTTATCAGGAGCTGAATCATCCGCAGAGGTCTCTTCCTCTCCGAAACAAACGGACCAGGTGATTTAAACCGGTAAAAATACTGAGTAAAACAGAGGGGCTGCTTAGTACGGTGGCCATCATGAAAACACAAAGGGCCCTATCTAAAGCCAGTGTTTGGTTTGTCCGTTCTGGGCTACCGTAGGTCAACATGGCAGACTCCGTGGGGGAAGACCTGCTCCCTATGTAGTCATAAACGGCTGATTTTAAGGTTACAAAAATATTAAATTTCTGCCAATACATCTCCCTAAATCCTACACACTGGACTTTTAAGAGGTCGTGTGATCTTTTACTCATTTCTGTGAGACTGTGTTGTATATTTATAGGTGTATGTATAAATAGACTTTTCAGAATATACATATCAAATGTGACTGTTTAATTTGTATAAATTTCTACTTAGTTTTCTTTATTAAAAATAAAATTGTATTGGAATCCAAATGCCTAACATTTATGCAAAACATTAAACATTCAGGTCTAATACTTCAGAGGGAGCTGACAGAGCTTAAAAAAAGTATTTACATGACATTTTAAATTTACATGACATTTTATATTATAACTTACAAGAAGGAGATCCCCCTCAAGCTGTTCTTTCCAGAGTTAAAGTTACTGGTGTGCACTGACCACAAGTTTTCATGGGACCTGCAGATACGTCACTGTACAGCCTTGAGATCCCTTCACAGTTTGCCAGAGGGAGATGGATCTGCTCCACATTCATCTTTCACAGTTTCACGGAGCTTTCCTTTAAAAGACTGTGTTTAGGAACAGTCCGGATACCAGCGGCCAGAAATACCAACAGAAATCTGGGATTTTTAGGATGCATCATAATGCCTCCTCTTTGGACATGTGGCAGTCCTTCCCCTGCTCTTGAGAGGGAAAGAAGATGTTGTCAATCTCTCCGCTCCTCTCCTCCTCAGAGAGATGAATACTGGGAGAGGACGTGGGATGAAACACAGGACAGTCTCGCTCATCCTCTTCTTCACTCAACACTCTCTTGGCCGTCTTCCCACATTCAATTGTTGGACCAACTTGGCCTGTGAACTGACTCAGCAAGCTAAAGATGACCGTCCCCGGATTGTTGACATGGACTGGACCTGCAGAGACCAAAACAAGCAAAGAGTGCACTTAAAGGAATGTTTTAATTGACACATAGAAGCACGTTAACATACAGTTTACAGACAATGAAGCACAACTCAGACTCATAACAGTAACACAGCTCTATCTTTTACATGTTTTGTTATCTTAATGACTCCACAAGGTGAGTCAGACATTTCTTCATTTCACTCATCACTACCCAGATTGGCTGCTGCGAGGCACGACGGCTGCTGCTTTGCACTGAATGAGTCTCTGGGGAACTGATGAGATGACTCCTTTCGAGAAACATTTCTGCCTCCCTGAAGAAGAACATGTCCATCAGTGAGAGGCAAATAAGAGAAGTGATGCTATATATGAAGGTACATGATTGAATGATGCGTTGAAAATGGCTTCTTACCTCATTGTGTAACTTTGAAATAGCTGGAAAACAGAAGATAAATAAATGAATGATAGAAAGTCTGTTACACTGATGAATCAACATGTATATGAGTGACAAAGCAACCGTCACCAAGCTAGTGACAAATTTCTAATCATAGTAATTTCTAAAGGCTTTCAGTAAAGTGTTTGTTGTTTCCCAGAACAGATGTGATCATAAAAGTTTGATTGATTAGAGGTGGAGTCACTGATTCTGGAGCAAGATTGTTGATATTTGAACTCAGCACCCAAACAAATACACCCCCTCCCATCAGTGCACCTTTAGAAACTCCGTTTTACCATTTGCTCATGGATACTTCGGGGATCGAACCGCTGACATTCCGATTAGTGGACGACCTGCCCTACCACAGCTGCTCTGTTGTTTATCATTTTGTTAGGGCTGTATATGTTCGTTTGGCAGTGGCATGCACAGACTTTTTGAAGGGCAGGGGCGAAAAGAAAAAAAAAAGGGCACATACAGCGCGTTCTGGCTCCCAGGAGGGCACTTTAGCGTGCATTTTGGCTATTTGGCTATAACTTCTAGTAATCGCAGTTGGCACAGGTGCGTGGTTTCACATTATATTACCTGTTCACCCACTGGTATGACAAAAAGTGTGAGTTTGGCTCCAATATTCTGTTGCCCGTCTTCTCACGTGTCATGTTTTGTTAATAAGTCTTGCTTTAGTTTTTCTAAAGTCTTTTACGCGATAAAACGCATCTGGACTTCTGCATGAATTTGTTTGTGTCACAGTTAAGAACTGACTTATCCTCTTAGCAGCAATAGTAGTCGCTACAGCACACACACACAAAACAAACAGCAAGTGGACTATGAGGAGATATTTCCCTAATGTGTCAAAATGTGTATTGGATTAGAACAGTGGACAGCACCCCAGAGATTGAACCTGTCCTGGATGTAAGCACCATCTTACCTTGCTTGAAACATGTTTCATCTCCGGGGCGACGAACAAAGAGCAGGATCACAAGTGCCAAGCATCCCACGGCAACCACTGGACACAAGATGGCCGCCAGCTGACTGCTCATCTTGTCTGAGAGAGAGAAACAAAAGTCGAAAATGTTGGCGTTGTACGTTTCTACAAACTAGAAATATGTTACATTTGCACATTTGCATTATATCAACGTTTCTAACGTGATGTAGCATATGAGCTGAATTTGTCACTGGGAAGTGGTTGGGATGGTGGATGATGTGTTACCCTGGGGAGACACCTGCCAAGCTGCAGGCCACTGTGAGACATAGCTGCATACATGTGTTGTTGTTTTTTCAGTTGTGTGTTTCCAGAAGTGATTGTGCCTCAAAAAAAAAAAAAAAGTTTTTTTGTTTTTTTTACTGGGACATTACTGCTTTTCCTGCAGGGATTTTGCCTCCAAAGCTGAGTATTTAAAGCCAAAATATGATCTTTTTAACTGTTTTTTATGTGTTAAACACAGCATTGTGTTAAACACAGCATTGTTGAAACGTAAAATTCCACTGACATCACTCCACTTTTGTCATACTGCACCTTTACAGGACTTTGCTGCTGCTTACTGCTATTGTTTAGATTTTATTGTTATATGTATGAAGTTTTCCGCACCATTTGAGGATGACACATTTGCAATTTCGTTATGGTTGTATAATGTCAATTAAGCTCTGAAAGTTCCTGAAAGGAAGTTTAAACATATCTGCTACATGAGAACATACAAATGTGACATATCCGAGGTTTGCAGAAACATATAATGCCAACATATTTCCCGGTGTTTGGGTTGCCTTGCAATGACAATACTAAGATGCTGATGTGAAGCAGGTGATTTTTACCAGGTTTGCCACCATAGTTAAGCCTGCTAGCGTGCTAACACTTGCTAACTATCACATTTCATAAAGTACAGCTGAGGCTAATGGGAATGCCATTAGTTTAGCAGGCATTTGGTTGTAGAGCTAGCAGAAAAGTCAGCAACAGGCATCACTTAAGTTATAAATATTCGCCCTTAGCAGGACATGAATGTCTGAACCAGATGTTGTGCCAGTCCATTCAGCATGTAGAGAAATTGCACTCAAAACCTCAAATAACAATCTACTTGTGGTGCCAGTGGAAAAGCCATAGGCTCAGTAAAGTCAGTAAAATAAATTCTCTGGGAACTACGAATGTCTGTACAAAATTTAGTTTCAATCCATCCACAGATGCCGAGATATTTAAAGGCTCTGACTTGCTGGTGGCACCAGAGGAAATACCAAAGTCAGTAGGATTCATCCTCTGTAGATCGTAAATGTCTGTACAGAATTTCACATTCAATGAGGTGTTTTAGTTTGGAATAACCGCCTTTGCCATCATTTGAGACAATAGAAATCCATTGAAAATACAAAACACTCCACATACTCCTCTCATGCTCACCTCCTATGAGATGTGTGCCATTTCCTGCCCATGGGATTGACTTTGTGCCACACCTGTGTGAGATGAGAGAAGTGTTGAATATCTCAGGTATCTGAAATATGTGGCACAATGAACAAGGACAGTGTGCAATAGGCTATCTGTAATGACCACACCAAATGCTACAGTAACTTTGGGATTATTTTAAGTCATCTAGATTTGGGGATTCATATGAAGCTGAAGTTTTTAAACTCCACTCTGTGTTGAATTCATTATGTACTTTATCTAAGGAAATCCAGGACTTACTTGGGAAATTGGCAGGGTTTGGCGGAAGAGCTGCTATGTCCTGAGGAAGTTGTGGAAGGTGTGTGTTTATCTCTGGCTGGAGTTGCTGCTTCCGGAGAACAAAAAACATTACAGATTTGATTTCAGATTTCAAAGGGAGAACACAAGACCAAACAAAATCTCACTCACATGTTATGGCAACAACAGCAGCCTAAATGCAATTAACTGTACAGATATACATGAGAAACATCTGCAGGTGAGAGAGAGAGTGTGTAGATTTATTGGTTAATGTGATGACGGGCAATACTTTGAAACAAATGTTGGCCTGTTTTTCTAAATTAAGCAGATTATTATCTCACAATTCTGAGAAACGTTTTCATGGAAAAAATTAATTCTTGTTTCTCTGACTCGAGATAATAATCTTCATTCAGAAAAACAGAGAAGAATTTTGTTTCGAAAGTGAATACATCACGTTTCCATAAAAAACAGCTTTGTTTGCAGGAAAATTAATATTAGATGAACAAAAAACAACTGAGAGGGGTCAGAGATTTTAAAAGGAAAATGTGCTCCACTGAAATTAATAGTAGAGCAAGTAAAAATAATATGTAGAGCGTGAGGAAGGAAAAATACGAGAGGTTGGAATCTCATTCTCACTCGTCATCAGCCTATGTTTTGAGGTACTGATGAGGGTTTTTTTCAGTTAAGCTAAACGCATTTAGCCGACAGCTGCACTTACTTTGCAGATACATTCATCTTTGTTGTATCTTTGTGGCACCCTGGTGGTCTAAGGGTTAAGGCCCTGACCCTGAGCTGTGCTGACACATCCGGCCAAGGACCGTTTTCCTATCTCTCTCTCTTTCTCTATCTCTCTTTTCATTTCCTGTCATCTTTCAACTGTCATCTAACAATGAAGGCTGAGATACAACAAAGTTTAAAAACAGTACTTTCAAAAGTCTTCAAAGCACCAGCTTTTCTGTTAGTGTGAAGAACAGTCTTTGTCTGATTGACATGCATTTTTGACATTGTCTAAAGACTTTTTGGACGGGGTAAAAGTTTCATATCTTATATTTTATAAATCTATACCTATCTGTAAAATGTGCAATGGTTCATTATTTCTTATCACCCAGGTTTAAAGGTTTAGCATGTAGGATTTAGTGGCATCTAGTGGTGAGGTTGCAGATTGCAACCAACTGAAACTTGTACCATGTGATAAGCGAGGAGGAGAACTACAGTGGCTGACACAAAAACACAAATGGCTCTATCTAGAGCTGGAGTTTGGTTTGTCTGTTCTGAGCTACTGTAAAGACAACACGGAGGACTCTGTGGAAGCAACTCGGTCTTACTCTCAATTTGTCAAATACCGACACTTGATCAGTGGCCCTCGGCATCAGATACCGATATGCATAGGCAATTTCTGTCGTAGTATAAAAGGTGAGAAAGACTGCTTAGGGCAGGTGGGAGGAGTGGTGAATGGATCAAACAAACTCTGGACATTCACCCAAGAGAACCCAAATTCAATTAACGTAATGTCCTAGTATGTGTAGCCTACTATGCTAGTGACGTACGTTGTTACATTATGTAAGTAACACACTGATTTTAAGTCAAAACATTATGTTGTTTTTTTTTCTTCTAAACCTAACCACCTGCTTTTGTTGTGCATATCTAAGGAAGTAATGAGTGTAAATTGACACACCGTCCCTGAATGTCCAAAACTGACGCTGGAGGGGTACTTAAAGCATCATTGCTTGATGTGTAAGGCCACTGACCAAGCCTTGGTATTGACAACTTGGTAGTGAGAATGTGATGGGTACATAACGGCACATTTTAAGGTACCATTTACGATTCTTAGTTTCAGGTGATTACGCACAGAAGAAAACATAAATTCCGTATTTAATTTCTGCCAATATGCCCCCCTAAATCCTACACACTGCATGTTTGAGATGTACAGTACAGGCCAAAAGTTTGGACACACCTTCTCATTCAATGCGTTTTCTTTATTTTCATGACTATTTACATTGTAGATTCTCACTGAAGGCATCAAAACTATGAATGAACACATGTGGAGTTATGTACTTAACAAAAAAAGGTGAAATAACTGAAAACATGTTTTATATTCTAGTTTCTTCAAAATAGCCACCCTTTGATCTGATTACTGCTTTGCACACTATTGGCATTCTCTCAATGAGCTTCAAGAGGTAGTCACCTGAAATGGTTTTCCAACAGTCTTGAAGGAGTTCCCAGAGGTGTTTAGCACTTGTTGGCCCCTTTGCCTTCACTCTGCGGTCCAGCTCACCCCAAACCATCTCGATTGGGTTCAGGTCCGGTGACTGTGGAGGCCAGGTCAGACACGGCGGTTGGAACCAAAGATCTCAAATTTGGACTCATCAGACCAAAGCACAGATTTCCACTGGTCTAATGTCCATTCCTTGTGTTTCTTGGCCCAAACAAATCTCTTCTGCTTGTTGCCTCTCCTTAGCAGTGGTTTCCTAGCAGCTATTTGACCATGAAGGCCTGATTTGCACAGTCTCCTCTTAACAGTTGTTCTAGAGATGGGTCTGCTGCTAGAACTCTGTGTGGCATTCATCTGGTCTCTGATCTGAGCTGCTGTTAACTTGCGATTTCTGAGGCTGGTGACTCGGATGAACTTATCCTCAGAAGCAGAGGTGACTCTTGGTCTTCCTTTCCTGGGTCGGTCCTCATGTGTGCCAGTTTAGTTGTAGCGCTTGATGGTTTTTGCGACTCCACTTGGGGACACATTTAAAGTTTTTGCAATTTTCCGGACTGACTGACCTTCATTTCTTAAAGTAATGATGGCCACTCGTTTTTCTTTAGTTAGCTGATTGGTTCTTGCCATAATATGAATTTTAACAGTTGTCCAATAGGGCTGTCGGCTGTGTATTAACCTGACTTCTGCACAACACAACTGATGGTCCCAACCCCATTGATAAAGCAAGAAATTCCACTAATTAACCCTGATAAGGCACACCTGTGAAGTGGAAACCATTTCAGGTGACTACCTCTTGAAGCTCATGGAGAGAATGCCAAGAGTGTGCAAAGCAGTAATCAGAGCAAAGGGTGGCTATTTTGAAGAAACTAGAATATAAAACATGTTTTCAGTTATTTCACCTTTTTTTGTTAAGTACATAACTCCACATGTGTTCATTCATAGTTTTGATGCCTTCAGTGAGAATCTACAATGTAAATAGTCATGAAAATAAAGAAAACGCATTGAATGAGAAGGTGTGTCCAAACTTTTGGCCTGTACTGTACATGTCCATGATGACTCTGTGAGAGGGACCTTTTATCAAAATGGATACAACTATGTTCAATGTTTGAATATATTTCCCTGCCAATACTTGCTTATTTGTAGCACTATTGTCAGTAATGGTGTATTTTTACATTGTGGTATCACTATTCTAAGGATCTAAAAATATTCATGCAGTGCTGAGAGGGGATCCCCCACAGCTCAGCTCAGACGAGAGCCCTGATCAATTTTCATTACTGTCCTATGTGCAAATAACAGTTTGAACAGCCTTCAGTATCGTTATGGGTCATTCTCGCTCACAGTCAGTGAAGACTTCAAAGGTATATTTTCTTTATCATGAGGCCCCCTGCTGGCCGAGCCTAATCTGACAGAGTTGAAAGTCTGCACTGCTCAGTATTTACCAGTTGTGGTCCTTATCTTGATCTTGACACAGAATCTGCAGTCTGTTGAGTATGGAACCTTGTCGTCGCACTCATAACCGTCCTCACAGACACACTTCACATTGGATGTGTTGGTACACTCCTGTATCACCTTCAGATTAAACTCTGAGACAGTGGGAAAAACAGGTGATTTTAGGGATTTTAATCACAGAAATGAAAAGTCATTTCTAGATATGCAAAGTGATTTATATTTTTTTTCAGTTTAATATAGAAACTCTAAAGGTCACACTGGTATCATCATCATCAGTGATGGATGAAACCACTGAGTTGGTATGACTCATAGTTTCTTTACCTGGTCTGCAGTCTCCTGAGCAGAAATGGCATTTTTCTTCACGGTTCAGCTGAGTCGTGTAGCTTCCAGCAGGACAGCTTTCACACTCAAGACAAGACTTCTGATACATACCTGTCAGAACAGAGAAAAACAAATGAGAACAACCGGATGAGATACAGAGCAGAGAGAGGCTGTTCACCCAGAGTGCATATTAATGAAGGATGTGGTCATACAGCTCAAACTCTGTGTGTGGTGTGCGTCATTTTTCATCAACAGAGAGGACATGCACTCACAGAGAGAGAAAAATAGGTACTGTAAGCCTCAGTGGATCATAGTCATTTCCAAATATGAACAAGTGCTGATTGATTCATTACAAGCAGTGAGTCAAAGCTAAATGAGGAACAGACAGAAAAACAGATACAGAAATAGAAGATGCTCACGCCAGATGTCACCTTACCTGGAGGGCACAATTTACACTGTCTGCCTCCAGCCTGGAAATATGCGGTCCCATTATTCTGTTAACACATTAACACAATTAAATACAAACCTCTATACTCTGCAAAATCCTGATTCACACATTCATACATGTTTATACAATGGACAGCTATTTTGTATACTTGAGAAGCAAACATTTCTTGTTTTCTGTAGCATCATTTATACTTTATAAGTAGAGGAAGTGAGGATGAAGGACATTGTTACCAGTGGGAAGGTGAGCACCAACTTCACGCGTAACATTAAGAGCATCACAAAACATTGCACAGGTCCCATCCTATGGAGAACAATGTAGAAAATATAAAAATAAATGGCAGATATCAAGTGGTCAGCTTAAAACTCCACATTAAAAGGGCATGTTCTGTAAAATTTAGTGTCCCTACAAAACTTCTCATATCACAAATAAGCTGTGATTTTGAAATATCAACAAGAACAACAAAAAAACAGACTTACCTTCAATATGATGTGCTCTTTGCTCTCCTTCTAATGTTTTGTTAACTTCCTCAAGGTGCGACTCTCTCTTTCTTTCTCTCTGCCCTCTCACTCACTCTACCCATCCTCTGTGTCACTATTTCCTTACCTGGTGATATCTTCCTGTCTTCCTGTCTCCTCCGCCCACTGATCTCTACCAATGTGCTGCTGCTGTCCTGTTTACACGTTCAGCTCTCACAGGCAGACCCATGTGACTAACGTTTCTGCATCAAAGCCTCATCACTTTCCATGCAAACTGTAAGATCTGATGGCAGAACGAATCAGAGGGGCCGCTCTCTGTGCAGTCAACGCGTGTCAACAACATGATGGAGGAGCAAATCGTTTTTGACAGCGACGGTTATGATTTCATTTCTGTTTTTAAGTCATGTTATATTTTTAATCATATCTGATTACTCAGATTACACCACTCAGGTTTCCTACACGTTGTAATTTGGGCTTTTCTTCAGTGAAATCAGTGGAAACTGAAAAACATTTCACCCAAAATAAAAAAATCTCAGACACTCACTTATTCCTTCCTATCTACGCAGATAGTCAGCGCACTTAAAAAAACTCAGAAAGCTATCTGAGTAAATGTACAGAATTGTTAGCAGCTAAATATATTAAAGTATCAAAGTAAAAGTCCTCATCCTGTAGCAGAATGGCTCCTGTGGCTGAGGACTGTATTGTAGCCGGTTTATGTGGAGCTAAACTACTTTATACACAGTTTGGTAGTTTAATCCAGTGGTTCCCAACCATGCAGGGAACCTCTCGGGCAGAGGCCGATGCTAAAAGTGCCAAAAATTTGCAGTTCCTCCAATGGCTACTTCAAAAATGTCTCTTTAATGGAACAACTAAAAACTTCACGCTCACATTCACACCTATGGACAATTTAGGTCACCAATTAAGCTAACTTGCATGTCTTTGGACTGTGGGAGGAAGCCAGAGAACCCAGAAAAAGCTCTGTACAGAAGGGTTCCCCCACCCTGGGTTTGTACCAGGAGCCCTCTTGCTGTGAGGCAACAATACCAACGACTGTAGACGTCTGAAAATATCACAAATGAGTCCCCACCAGTCCAGACACCACTTTTAAAAATGCTGCGAGCCACTGATTTAATCTTAAACAATGTATTTTTTAAGGTCAGCACGTGATATATGATGGAAATCTTAATCTGAAAAGTAACTAAAGCTGTCAAAACAATCTAGTGGAGTAAAGGGTATAATGTTTTCTTCTGAAAAGTTGATGGAGCACAGTAGAGGTTTACTGTGGCATAAAATAAAAGTACCTCAAAGGAGTAAATACACTGTCACACTGCTCCTCCTCTGCAGATCGTTTTACAGTGGAAAGTTGCTGAGTTTCATTTATAGTGCTCATATTCAAAATACCAACAGCAACATCTTTTCCAAAACAGTGACGTCACAGAGTTCAGTTGCTTCTGTAGCCTGCTGATGAGTGTCTGAGACATTGTTTCTGGAGAGAGAGATGCTGCATGTTGAAATGTGATTAAGCTGTGAGCACAAAAACACAATCCCATTCCACTCCCCGTTTGTAATCTGGGTGAACTTACCCTTTAATTTTAAGGCTGAACAGACAGATGTTTTAGAAATGATCACACACAATGTCGTTGCTCAGTTGAATCTTTTATTCTTTCAATCTCTCTTGTTACATACTGTAGCTCTGCAGGGAAGCTATTTAGCCTAAATTACTGTCTTGATGTTTAAAGCTGCATCGTCACACATCTGGAGTACTCAGCCAATACTCAGGATTATCAGCAGATTGTTTTAGGACACAAATTGAATCATAATATCTTGTCTCATCTGTTAAAATGTGAGAGAAGTGACAAAAAAAACATGTTTTTTGTCTTTAACCGCCATAATTTCCGTTGATCAGCTAAATAAAGCAATCGGGTCATTTTATCTTATCTTAAGTTTCTTTCCAGGTGTGTGACAGTCGACAATCTTTGCTTGCAGTCTTTGAACACAAGTAAATATTCAAAGCTATATTTCCTTTACACATATAATCAAAGCCATCGTACAGTCATTTCGCTAAAGCATTTGCATTTCAGAGGATCTTTTTTGTTTTGTTGTTTTTTGTTTTAACTTGAGTTATTTTTAAACTGACTTTATTTGGCAGCCACATACACTCATAAAGAAAAAGTACCAATGGAAAAACAAAAGAACTCCATCGTTATTTGATTTAAATATTTACAATTTTAGGGGTGGTTATTGTCAAAAAGACAGCTCAGTCTCAAATGCTACCCACAATGAGACAACAAATTGGACTTGCTATGTTTCCTTCTTCTTCATGTTGTGCATCTGCACCAGTAAAAGTCTTTTTAAAAACACTCAGTATACAGACATAACACCCAGAAACATACACACTGGCACATGCATACATAGAGACTCACTCAGTGCGTGAAAGAAAAACTGTACAAAGGGAAATGGCGTGTTTTATGTCGCACACAATTTATCCTTGACAGACATCCTCCTTCTGAATTCAAACAGTAGTGGAAACGCTGCGATTAGCGCGCTCAGCTGATTCCAACAGCCACACATGCATGAGTTTATATAAGCTTCAGATCTGTCCTCTGGCTGTGTGATAACAAAGCATTGAAGTGTGAGTCGCAGTAGAAGCAGAAGAAATATCTCACCTGGTACAACCACACAGAAGAAACTACAGCCAGGACTATATTTAGACAACAGTGTCTGATCACAGAGCAGTGATGGCAGAGGGGCGTTCCCCTGACAGCAGTATGCTAATATGTGTTTTACTGCAGCAGTGAGTTAAAGTTCATGGTTAAATGTGCCCAGAAAAACATAAATAAAGTCAAAATGAGGTATGTGTTCGTGTTTAATTCATTATTCTAGTACCCCACCTGCAACATGTAAAAGATGAAATATGAATAGAAGAAATATAGGTTTCTATTTTCAGCTCGTCTACATTTTTATGTTACATGTTGTACAATAGTGCTGATTGTTTCATATGCATTTTTGCTTTGCTCTTCCTTTCTATGTGCAAACAGGCTCAAAAATAGGTTTAGTTATATACATCAAGCACCTTGGTGAAATAGCCTCGGCAGCTATATTTAGTCTTTTTTTTTTACAGCAATTTCCTGTTGATTCATTCTCACCATCTTATTTTGGCACTCAACGGCTAACTTACATTATTTTATGACAATCTTTTCTTGTTCAACGCACAGGACCTGACTTATGACTGACTAATCTAAGCATTGCTGCTGAAAATAAAACTAATTAGTAAGAGCTACATGACACTTGGGCGTCAGTGCACTTTGTCACACAGTACTTTTACTGCCAGAGAGCAGAATGACAAGCCAACGCTGACTCCAGATCAGCTTCGAGAGGGTGCAGACTGGACATCAACTGCACAAGACATAGACCGCGGCTATATTTAAAACTGAGGATAAACATGCCGCCCTCTGACGCTGACAGCATCCGTCTCTGCTGTCAGCTGCAACTTTGGGTTTCTTATGAAGCACCATTAACAGTTTCATCTGAGATGTTCAATGCATTTCTACGACGGCGTATAAAATCGATTAATCACTTATTTGTAACATGGAATAGGTTTAAAAAAAAAAAAAAAGTCGGGGAAAGGGGGTTATATTCAAACAAAAAAAAAATGTGTTTTACTATTTTACTATTAACTAGTAATGGCAACCCGTCTTTACACCAATAGAGCTTTAATGTGTTTTTGGTTAGATGTGATTTCATTCCTATTTTTCCGAGTTCTTTTCTTAAAAATTTGTGACTTAAATCTCAGAGAAATTTTGAAAATTTTCTCACAAATTTATGACTTTATAATGTCGGAGAATATTCAAGTTTTTTCTCGTATATTATGTAAATTTGTAACTTTAATCTTGGAGATAATAGTTTTTTTTATCTGAATATTACCCCCCTCCCCAGCTCCATACTTATGTGTATGAATATACTTTTGTTCTTTGCAATGCCCTTTCTACACAGTCATACATTTCAGATGTTTAGATGAAATTTTATAAATGACCTTGTTTAACAATTCCCTCGCTGCCTATTCTAGGATGGATTTCTTTTGAGTATGAGAGTTGCTACGTTAATGCAGTTTGCTCTTTCTAAACCTGGCACCAAAATGATGCTGATGCTGACTATCAATGTTGTGAATGCTCTTAAAATAATGAAGTGCTGTGACATGATGTGTTATGTTGCCCATTTATTCCTTTAGTCTAGATTTAACAAATCACTTAACTGATTCACGGTGGATTTCTGATTCGGGTAATTTACAGCAGATAAATGGGTTAATGTGATCACACCACCAAAACCTTCTTTTACTGTTTCCTGGATGATACCTAATTCTTATCAGCAAAAGGAAAGAAGCCTGTTGGTAGCTGATGTTTTGGTCATGTTTTGCCTCATTTGTCCTCTTCGTGCTTTGCTAAATTAAGCACAGATGTTATGATTTATTTATGACTTAAGGTTTGCTTTGCCTGTGGTTTAATCTGGTAGACAGCAGGCTCTGAATCTGCAGCTGTAAGGCAGTAAAATGCTGAATCATGACATCGTATTAGACTTCAAAGACTCAAGCTCTTCATCATCAATATCAAACTCAGGAATACGCTTCAGAGCCCTATTCACACAAGACTAGTATTACCAGGGGACCTCGTGCGATTTAGAAATTAGCATCCCCCTTGTCTGTATGTGACTTAAATTTACTGACATTATCCCCTGGATATGATATCAAGGCTCCGCATTCACATCTATATTGTGTAGCAAGATGAGCCTCCTGACTTTGCATTCAAACTGTTGTCAAAACATTCATTTATAATTGCCAAGGCAGCCTCCATAATTCTCGACCGGGAAAGAGGCAGAAATCACCCCAAATCACAGAGATGTCGCAGGGAACTAAAATGATCACATGACCTCTGTGTTAAGGGAAATTTTGTCGGTCAAGCGGCAACCTCTGCAGTGAAATATGACGCCAAAAACTGCAGTACCTTGAATGGCCACTTGAGGCTGGCTCCAGAAATAAACATGTTTACAGCCTGGTACAAAAAAATGGGTTTGGTCTCGATTGCTAATTTCCATGTTCATGACGACTGTATATATCTTGGCTGTTTACACTTTATTAAAGCTTAAAAAACAAAATGGCAACAGTACATAGTCATTTGTGGTGGAATTTTTACTTGGCAAGTTATAGGCATGGCAGATTCACGCAGTATTATGATCACAAATGACCCCCGCAGTTATCACAAATCATGAGAGGTGTTCAGGTAGTACTATGCCCCATGCAAACATCGCTCAGGACCTTTATTTCAGTACTTTTAGTCTGAAACGATTCTGCTCTGTCTTTTCTTGGCCTGTAGGCTTGTGTGGAGTAAATTTTCTAGGGTTAGTTTTGGTGACTTTACATCATATATTCGCCTGATTAGCTTCAGATGCCCGGCTAAGTGTTTTTATTGTGTGTAGAGTGAATACATCATGCTATGCTTTCCTGTAGCCTACAGCACTGCACTGCAATGACATCAGAACTAGAATTAGAATAAATTCAGGATCCTCAACTTTCTAAATCTTCACAGGACAATCCATTATAAGAATTACTTTCTTAATGTTTCTCTGTCAATCACAACATGACAAGCTCCACCTGTAAGAAGACCCCTCCCCCCGCAGGGCAGTGACATCTGCATGAAGTAGTAATGACAAAAATCCAGCTCTGCTACTCAGTCACAGTTTCAGTGCTCAAAGTCTCCTCAGACCAAAGCTGATTATGTGGACAGCAGAAAGAATTAACGATATGACTCCGTAAATAAAGAGGTTCATATGTAAACATGGTGTTGCCATAGTTACAGGTGTGTATTGCGTCGGTGTGGTACTGTAGCTGGATGCAGCGGAGGTCACGTGACCACAGCCCCCGTTACAGCCGGAGTGAGGAAGTGTCAAGATCTCCTAGTGCTCGAGGAAGACGGCGGAGACGATGAAGACCTGTCGTTTTCTCTCTGGTCGCTGTCCTCAGAGGACGCAGGCGCCACAGTGTTACTGTGAGAAACAGACAAAAATGTTACAGATGTTACAGTATATAAACATTAAATAAACAGTTTATAACACACTATAATGTGGCTGTAAGCAGATGTAAGTGTTTATCATTGTATTTATCAACAATTATAACTTCTTCTGTGAGCACCTGTGAGTGGAGGATTGTGTTTATTAGTAAAACAGTTGTACATGTAATATTATAAAATACATCCTCATAGGAGAAGTTAGAATTGTTAACAAATACTTCACGTTATTGAACACTCATCACTACGTAGAGCTACATTATATTGTGTTACAGCCATTTCATTTTTGTCTACTGTATATAAATATTACAAGGGGACTTAAAGTGGAGTGTTACTGTGGGAAATTAAAGGACCTGTGAAATAAAGCGTTACCAAAAGGAAAGGTGTGTGTTACCTGTCTCCACTCTGCGTTATGAGTCTCCTGCACGTCTCCATCTGAACATCCAGGCCTCTCTTCATGGAGCACATCTCCATGTACTCGTGGAGGTGTCGGTTCATGTCACTCTTTGCCGTAGCCAGCTCCAGCTGGAGTCACAAAACATGCGGTCAGACATATCGCAAATGTTAAAATCCAAATGTGCTGCATGTGTGTTGACCACAAAAAAATTGGTTTACTAATGCACAACTGTGAGGTGCTGCTCAAATTACTGATGCTAAACCTCACACAGCTTTATGAAAGTCTTTATGTCATGTCTAAGTAAAGATTCACTTCTGGAGATGTTTGATTACACATGTGGACATATCAAAAACAAAAAACAGATTAACTGTCATTTAATGCTGAGTCATAGAGTGTGTTTACATGGACGTTAAAGGTACAGTGTGTTCGATTCAAGGACATCTATTAACATTTTCACTAGTGTATAATCACCTGAAGACAGAGCAGTTGTGTTTGTGTTACCTTAAGCCCAGTTCAGATCAAAGATTCGTAACAAGATGAGTTGCATAATTAGCACAAACAGCGATACAGCAATACAGCGAGCAGCAGCAGCAGCAGCAGCAGCAGCAGCGACCCACTGTGCAACACCAGCACACTGTGAGGAGCTCGGCAATGATGGAGCACCTGCCGCAGCATGCGAACACACCATCTGTGAACATTTTGACTTGACTAGCTGACTTCACTACAACCCAATTGGCTGTTGAAACAGGTGACATGCTTTACGTTCTAAGACCAGCTGCCAGCAATTCGACCAGCTGAGCTGCAGGTGACACCATCAGCCGGCTTGTGTTGAGCTCAGACCGGCCAGTTTATACCACTCTGCAACGTTCAAAAACAGTTTCCTCTCGGCAAGAATCATTGGTCTGAACTGGGCTTTAGAGAGAGATGTTTATAACTACATACAGAGTGGCTCATCTTCAACAGAGATCGCCATGTTGTTTCTACAGTAGCCCAGAACGGACAAAGCAAACACTGGCTCTGATGGGGACATTTGCATTTTTGCGCCAGCCATCGTAGCTCTCCTACACACTTGGCACAGGAAGGAAGTTTAAGTTCTGCAACCTCACAGCTAGATGCCACTAAATCCTACACACTGGACCTTTAACAACCCGTTCATGAGGCTTATCCCAGTTATGATCATATTAGGAACGTGGTGTTTACATGCTCAAACACATAAATGGGACACTCCAACAACCACATCATAAACAGGATATTCATGTCCCTGTAAACACACTCATTATGTAAATCATTTCTAATAAATCTGCAGGCAACAGAGCGCTGCACAAACCTTGAGTGCACACACAAAACCTAAGACAAGCTGTGGTATTGAGATCTTAATGCACAATGCAATAAAGACATGAGATGAAATAAATAACACTGAGCACAAAGAGAAAGATAAGACAGAGAACATTCATGAACAGGGAAACCATTTAAGTAATAAGTGTCCGACCTCAATCTGGTCAATCGTCTCTTGATATTCCTTCTCCCGGGACTTGAAAAGACATTCTGTGTCATTAATCACCTTTTCCAGACAGTCCTCCTGGCAGAGAGGAAGAAGAGAGAGATACTGAGTGTGTTTGAGGTCAGGATTAAGATGTACATGAGATAAAGTGTAGCAACAGCAGTAAACAGACCATGTGTTTGTGTGCTAATCATCACACAATCAGACACTAAGCGAGGTTACACCGCCATTAAAGCACAGCTGACTTTTCGCTCCCATCAGCTCAAATTTCACTGACTAATGCAGCTCCTCCCTTCAGAGGGACAGCAGATTGTTCAAATGCCACACAGCCAGTAAATGAAAACAAATACCGACATGCATTTCTTGGAAACAAACACACTGTACACCAATACAGGGCAGACACCGCATCTGTCAGTGTGTGTGCGTTTGTCCTGAAATGCCCTGCTACAGTGGAGCAGTGAAGGTCAGTGTCGTCGTCTGAGACAAAGACTGTATTGACCAACGTATTGCGCTGCTGCTCTGCACATCGTCTCCACATCAAAGCTTTAAAAGCTTCCTTGAAATCTGAACCAACAATATCAAAACACATGCAGCTGTCTGAGGGATGACAAGCAAACAAAGGTGCGGATCGTGATCACAAGCACAGATTTAAGTTTCTCAGTGTCATTTGTCCAAAGAATAACCTAAAAATAGACTGAACAGGACAGTCACTGCATCTGAAGGCCAGGCAATGGTTGATAACGGTAACAGAAATTACGTATATTATGTGTATGGTTGATTTTGTTGTTTAAAGTTGCTCTGTGGCATCAATTTAATCCCTTAAAACTCATCCCTGTTCATCAAAACTACATATTTACAAGGTGCTAAAAACAATCATTTCATGCCTTATAATGGCTTAGATGTAACTGTAAAACTGTCTTAGTTTAGTATTTGTGGATTTATAAATATGCAAATTATACAGCTATCTTTTCAATAAATTTCAATGACCTTTGGCTGGACTACGTTATCAAACAGCTAATAATGTGTTGCTAATATTAGATAAACCTTGTTCCCGATCACCAGCTCTGGATACTTGAAGTGAAAGTGGCACTTACCATGCAAAATACCGTATTATGCTACACCTTGCTTCTCTTATGATGCCCTTGTTTTGTCCTAGCATTTTGCTAATGATGTGGAAAGCCCCGCCCCACAAGGGACAGGATTGGTTCCTTAGATCTGTGACATAACAAACCCTGGCTGTCTGAATCTGTGTTTTTGAGCCATGACACCAACTGCTTTTTTTGCTCATGATATGTCTTGTAGCCTATAAAAAAAAACTTTGAGTATGTTAACAAGTTTAAAAACATGACTTTCCCTGATGGGGGGTTTAAATGTGTTTTTAGTAATGATTTTAATAAGCTTATCAAACCAGAAAGAATTTATTAGCAAAGAGCTTTGCTAACAAATTCAAAACCAGATTTGAGAACACAAGGAAAAACAGCAGAGATATTATCAGGCTTCTGTGCATGTGAACACAAATCATCACATCCTCAAAAACAACCACAGAGCTGAATCAGCACCTCTCTGACACAGTCAAAGGTGAAGGTTTCAATGAATTTGATGATTTTAATCTTCACAGAGTTAGTATGTTGTATTGGACCGCATTACGTTATCTAGGTGTTGTTCATCCCCTGAATTAATGTCTAGGTCCATTCCTTTAAACCAACACTCAGAGAGGTCATTGAAGAAGTCGTGCAACCACAGCCTACCTCTCCTGGTGGGTGGGTGGGGTCAGGAGGCAAAGTGCATCCTGGGAAATCCTCCCAGAGAAGCAGCGTCTCTTCAGTCTCCTCCCAGGCCAGACTGTCACAATCATCCTCGAACTCGCATTCACGCCTACAATGAACACATAAATTGCTGGAGGACTGAAGGACGGTTACATTATTATACTCATCATGTTTCAAAGTCAGACCACTCACAGTTGGTTCAGCATCCTCTGCATCTCCTCATTAATTTGATTGGCCGATGAGCCACCATGCTCTTCGTCTTTGACCACGCCCCCGTCACTTTCGGAAGTGCTGACAGGTTCATCACACTCGCTCCCGTTGAAGGACAGAGGAGTTTGTTTCCGGCGGCAGTTTAGGGATGATTGGTTGTTCGGAACCTGCACGGACACGATTGGGATTCAGACCAACGCCATCAATATACTGGACAAACTTACACAGGAAGTGACTCTGCAGATTTGATGAACAGGAACAAAAACAGAGATGAGAACATGAAGTGGTAAGATTCAGTACCTGGTACATCTGGATCACGTCTTCACAGTTTCTCTGCTGAGCTACGTCACAGAGACGAGCAGTGATGTCGATCCTGCGGCAGATGTCCATGTCCACCTTCATGGCTTTCTCCTGGATCTTACTGTCCAACTCTGACAGGTTCTACAGAGAGGATGAAAGGACCCAGATAAGACAGAGGGCAGAAAGACTTAATCTACTGCTTTATTAATGCAAATAAATCACTGTAAATATCTGACGCTGTATAGATCAGTATATAAGCAATAAATAAGAATGTTTGGGTTGATCGGTCATAAAATATCTCTGGTTGCTTTTTACCTCCTCCAACATGATTGTGTGTGTCTATTACACACTTGTGTTTCTTATTAAAAGTAAATAATATAATTTTACTTTAGTTATTTGAAGGTATACTATGCACAATTGTTGGTTACTGTTTGTAAACAGAAAAGCAGCGAGACATATGATTACTGCTTGCGTGCCTAGCTAGGAGTATGTATAACTTGTACGTGACTGTACGGGGTTGTACTGCGCTCACATTGCTCATGAGGCCTTTGAAGAGAACCAGCTCCGCCTTCAGCTGCTGCACTCTGAGAGCCAGCTCATCCTGACAGCCTTCACTCTCGTGCAGGTCCTGCACGCATAAAGGAAGCCGTAAAGAACACACACATACAAGTTCAAACACACCCACACTCTCGCCGCATCTCTTTACTGGAAATTACAGGTTAGACTATGCAAGCAGAAGCGATCAACAAAATAAAAGCACAAATCTGCAAAGTGCACAAAAGCACTGTAAATCCTAAATGCATGATCTCCTTTGGGGAGCTTGGGATTTGTCTGATGGCATCATAATTGTCTTTTTGCCCTGTTGACTTATTCATATGTTTTACAATACTGGTCAGAGCCCTTTCAGTGTGGAGCGATGGTTTACGGCTTGTGGTCTCCTGTTGATGTGGTGCTGCCTGCTAAACTGGGTCAGGTACAAATTCCTGGCAATAGCACATGTGCATGCAAAGACACAAGTACATGTACAGTACAGGCATGCACACACGTAGTGACACACACACACACACACACACACACACACACACACACACACAGGAAATCAACAAACCATTGGGTATGTGAAGACACAGCTGCAGGAAGTACAAACATAGCAATCCACCTGACAGCAGGTGACTGTCAGATTAAACAAAGGCATGATTTCTTTAACTTTAAATAAGAGTGCCTCATGTTCTTTTAAGTAATTGATAGTCAATGGAAAATAGAAAAACAAGTGTGTAACAGCTTCATAAGAGTCAGGACTCCAGTGTTTGGTGATCACTGTGACAGCTGCAGGAAACTCTGTATTTTAAGTAACACATTTTTCCATATTGTTATCAGGTTAATGAAAGGTCTAAGCCATTTAACCACAAACGCTCTGGTTATTGTCGACAGGCCAGGACAACAAAGGTATTTAGATCATGGTATTTTTAGATCGGCTAAGCCATAGCTGAAGTATCACACACCAACAATTTATTTTTGTTGTGTCAATGACTCATTTCAAAGCTGCAAATGTCAAGCAAAGACACCTTCACTTCAGACACATGTCCACCCACAAACACACACATACACACGAACAAAAGTCTGCACCATGTTACCTCTTGTAGGTCCGAAATCTTCTGTTGCAGATCCATCCTCATTGTGTATTCTTCTTCCCATCTAAGAGACACACAGATTAAAAAGGAAACATTATGTTAGTGTTTTGTAATGTAAACAGAGAGGGTGGTTCCAAAACTGCTAATAATATCAGGAGGGCCTCCGATAGGGTTTAAAATGTTGGATGGGGTATGCAAGTCCATGCACCAATCAAAAAACATGTCATTTATAAACAAACTTTAACCCCACCCGGCTGGTGATGTCATAATAGAATATCTCCAGAAGGTTGCGGTCTACAAACTTACCTAAAATGGCCCCAGCTTCATCTTTTTTTAACTTAGTTTCTTGACATGGAAATAGGTTACTATAGGGATGTATGATAATGGATTTTTTTGCTGATATCCGATATGCTGATATGTCATTTGACCGATAACCGATATTGATATCTATCCACTACCTAATTTTAGTGATCATCAAGTCTCTTCTGTGGTGGAATTAATATCATATGATTCATGCTCGTACAACTCGTTATCCAGATGGCCCACCAGCAGATAGAGACATGAAATACAACACTTTTCAATGTTTATAATATTCATTCTTTCATTCATTTTCTGTGACCACTTATCCTGTTCGGGGAGCCTATCCCAGCTGACATTGGGCGAGCGGCGGGGTACACCCTGGACAGGTCACCAGACCTTCACACTCACATTCACACCTACGGACAATTTAGGCCCTGTTTAGATGACAACAGTTTCTCTAAAAACGGAAAGGTCTGTCCTTTGCATTTTAAAAAACTTCTTCGTTTATATGACGACGTTATTGAAATGATCCCCGTTCACACGGAGCTGCAAAATCTACTGGAAACGCTGTAGAATAGACGCCAGGCCAATGGGTGGCAGTGTAAATTTGCAAAGCAACACCACGGTATGACGCCATGCGCCTGCGCTGAAGCGCCTTCCTCTACAACGCGGTGATTACAAACCAAAACAAAGAAGACACAATGGCGAAAGCATGCAGAGATAACTTTGTCTGGATGGACGACGAGGTGGAGTTGCTACAGTAAAGGCCTGAACATACTCGGGCGGAACGTACGCTGAACGGACTCTGCGGAGGTCCGCGCGGACTCAAAGCGGACGTCCGCAAGCCCTGTGCGTGCAAAGCTCAGATTGTACGACCGCACGGACTCCGCTCCGTGCACCAGTGACTGCTCGGCATGTATTTCTCACATCGCGGGGATTTTTCACGGACATTTTTACAACGCGGAAGTGCGCTCGACTATGAAAGCCCGAATGACTGCGGACATTCCTCGCGGAGTCCGTTCCGCATACATTCCGCCCGAGTATGTTCGGGCCTTAACAGATCTACACTGCACTTCAAATCAACAGGGTGAGCAGCACAAACAGAGCTCGGCATTGTTGTTGTAATGGTCGGCGTGCCTAGTGACTGGAATGCGCATGTGCGAAAAGTCTCTGTTTTCAGAGGAACTGAATATTGCAAGTTTACATGACAACGGAGACACTGCCGTTTCCAAAACGTTGCACTCTGGAACCCGTTTTCAAAACGTTGCGTTTTCAGGCACCCAAAACACCGCTGTTGTGTAAACGATCGGCCAAAACCCAACTAAAGTTTACCGTTTTCAGTTGAAATCGTTGTCGTATAAACGGGGCCTTAGAGTCACCGATCAACCTGCATGTCTGTGGACTGTGGGAGGAAGCCGGAGGACCTGAAGAAAACCCACGCTGACACAGGGAGAACATGCAAACTCCACACAGAAGGGCTCCCCCACCCTGGGGGCTCGAACTAGGAACCCTCTTGCTGTGAGGCGACGATGCTAACCGCTGCATCACCATGCCTGTAATATTCATTCATCGTGCAAAATAAGAAAGAGCACGTTGGCCGATTCTGATTTTAAAGCCATTATCAGCCGATACTAGGGCTGCCACGATTAGTTGACTAATCGATGACTAATCGATGACTAATCGACTTAAAATAATCGGTGACTATTTTAGTAGTCGACTAATCAGTTTGAGTCATTTTTCATAGAAAAGTACTATAAAAGTACCCCAAAATACTCTTACTGCAGCTTCTTATGTTCAGATATTGGCAGCTTTACACACTCTCCCGTGACAGTGAAATAAAACCCTTTGGCGTGAGTATGAAACAAGACATTAGATGACGTAATTTGGGGGTTTGGGCGAGACACACCATTTTTCAACATTTTAACACATTTTTCGATGAAATGATTAGTCGACTAATCGAAGAAATAATCGACAGATTAGTCAACAATGAAAATAATCGTTAGTGGCAGCCCTAGCCGATACCAGTGACAATATTATTGTGCACACCTAGTAGTGCACAGCCCTATTTTGTTTGTTTTTTTAAATACAATGGCATTGGATTGGTATCAGCCTATACACAGGTTCAGGTATCAGAATCATTATTGGGAAGGAAAAAACAGTACTGGAACATCTCCACAGAGAACGGTTTCACGTGTACACATGATTGATTTATGCATCTTTCAGACCCACTTAGCAAGGCCGGTACAAAGGGATCCATGACTGAACTGTTTCAGGAGGTTGAAAAGTCAAAAGGGCTGTCAGGCATTCTAGATGTTAAACAATTTTAAGTGCATCTGTCTAGCCAAACTGCTACTCAATGACCATCATATTCCTCCTGAAAGATGACATGGAATGACACTACTGTCCAAGATTTACAATGCTGATTGGGAGATGGCAGTAACTCGCTAAGATATTCAGCAATGTGCCAGCAAAGACGACGACTGTTAGTGAGTAAACATGGATTTGAACAGTGTTAGATGTTAAATACTAATCGGTTTTTGCATATATGAACACATTTGTTTGACTTCAAGGATGCAAATAATGTATTTTGGTGAGTAACACTGAATGTAACCTACGTTTGTTTGGATGAAAATAAATTCATCCTATAAAACTGCAATTTCAGAATCAGTCATCGCTCAGTTTACAAAAGGACAAAGAGTGCCCGTGGATCTGACAATAAAATGTAAATGCAGTTAAATTATATGAGAATAAAATGTGGATACAAGCTGCTTTAAACAATCAGGCGTAAGCAGTAAAAGTGTGAGTGAGTGATTTGCTTTTTCACCCACTGATGAATCCATTCTTTGATAAATTGTGTGTTACTATGTTGCAGCTCAGACTCATGAATCTGAACTTTAATACATTTAAAAGCCCAAGTCCAGCTCCTATATGTGATATATCAGATTCAGTGACTTCATACAGCACACGTGCCCAGGGGAAATCCACTCACTGCAGAGTCTGTAGCCTCTTATATAAATGCTGTTTGAGATGCAGAATGCTGCGGCACACAGGGACCTTTAGGGAATACTAAATCTGAAAGAAAACTGAGTCATGAAACGGGAGTCGTTGTTGTCGTAGAGGATGCTTGTTTGATCAGTAAGGTGAGAGCGAACAGAAAGGCGAGAAGTGCTTCCTCCTGCAAGCCAAGCCCCCGGCCCAGCAGTTACAGCTTGCAGTGCATGCTGCATTGCAGATACAGTGTGGAGCGTGGAGAGGGGGATGCGCAGTGTGAGAAAAGCGAAGTGGAGTGCACGACAGAGGCAGAGAAAATTTTCGGTGTGGGATTGTGTGAGGTTTATGTGAGAAAGAGAATGTGAAAGTGTGGTGGGCATAGCGGGGGGAGTGAGGGACGGGGACAGAGGGAGGGTTAACGGAGAGAAAGAGAAGTGTCCTTGAATAATAAAGCAAAAATGACTGGATAAAACGGAGAGAAGGGTGAAAAGAAGCAGAAGCAAAATGCACCAAATCCTTTAAATCAAATTGATTCATTGGTGAGTTTCAAAGTGAAATGAAACACGGGGACAACAACTGTTATAAATATTTTACGGCATAGTTAACGGCCATGAATCTGACTTGGAGAAACAGGCTTTAATGCCCTTTGTCCCGAGGTAAACTGATACACCTCCAGTAAGCTCACACAGGCTGAGAAACAGCCATGACAAAAGGCTCAACAGAAACTGATTTGAACACCGAGACACAGTATGTCACACACACTGATTCCCAAATATGCCAGCTTACTTGACGAGAGGTCAGTAAATCATCCTCACTGAAGCCTCCGAAAACAATTAAATCATGTGTCTTATGTCACACACTCTGAGTCCTTCTCCCCGGATCACAAAGAGCCCACTATGCTGTGGTGAGGATCTCCTCTGTGAAGAATGCATGGCTGCTCACTTGGACATAATACAAGGGAACTCAATGATGAATGTGCTGGAACACAGTTCACTCAGGACAGATAATACGTAATCCCTAAAGTGTCACATGTCCGTCAAATTCACAACAGGATATAACACATGTGGGCTTCTTCAATCATTTAAAGGGGAAATCCACCCTAAAAAAGAATTCACAGTGTTATTCCAGTAATCTGCAAACACAAACAGCTGCCTCCCTAAATTTGGACATCAGTGCATCCGGTTTTGAACTGGTGATGTCATCAGGTGACACACTGCTGTTTACTGGTAGACTGACAAAGGATAAGTGAATGGGTTCGGAGAAGTTTTGCTTGTAACGATCGTAGCCGGCAACGGATTATTTTTACTATCAATTAATCTGCTGATAATTTTCTTGACTAATCGATTTGTCATTTTGTTTATGAAATTCCCAGAGTCCAAAGTCATATTTTCAGATCGCTTGTTATGGTACATAAACAAAAACATACTTTTTGCAAAGCTAGAACCGTTAGATTATTAATTAAAAATTACTGAACAAATGAATCCATTACAAAAATAACTGTGATAATAAGCTGATCATTTCAGCTCTAGATAAAGCTTGCAGCTGTGTCCCAGTAAAACCACTATGGGTGCTGCTAAAGCATCACAAGGTTTGTTTCATATCCACACAGGCCTAACTGGACCACCTCCAGAATCATCATCAATACGGCCTTTCTTCAGAGGCTTTTTCAGTTTCATTAAATAAATGTTGTATAATCAACACAAGCTCTATTTCAGGACTGATTTCCCCAAATATTCTCGTGAGCTAAGCCACCCACGGGTGAGTCAGCGTCTCGAGAGCTTCCCGAGCTCTGAAGTGACCATTTGTGCCACAGACTGATCGTCACATGTCCTTGCTAAGCTCTGACCTTCATTCTTCTTTATATTTAGCTCGTGGTGTGTTAATTTTTTGGGGTGTATTTCTAGCCGCAGCACCTGCCTCTGTGGTTTAGACATGAAGCGTATGCAGGGTCAGGCTGGAGGTGATGGATGAGGAGGGTTTGTGCTGACTCTGCTTTTGTTGGGAGACAGCTGGTCTGCAGCTGCTTTACTGCTCTGCTCACTGCTCCAATGTAGAGCATTACACACACTTAAGAAATCAACACAACAACCTAATGTTTAGTAGAAATGCCCCTGTAGGCCTGACTGATACAAGTGCAGCAAAATGGGTTTACCTGCGTTTATACTCGTCTCTCTCCCTCTTCACTTTGGCCAGGACATTATACAGGGCTCTTATCTCAGGGGTGATGGTGTCAATCTGGACCCCGACTCCATCAGGATGCATCCAGGACACCCCTGGGCTAGTCAGACGCTCTGCACCAGCACCAAACTTGCGTGCATGGTTGTAGGACCAGATGGTGCCTGGGAGGAACCGTGGAGGGTTGGTGGAGCTCCCCGGGCCTGCGCTGGTGTTGGTGACAGTTCTGGAGGCAGAGCCAGGGGAGTCCACACAGGGAGAGGCCTGGCTGATGGTGATGGCTGGGTTTAAAGTGGCATTTGTTTGGGTTGAGCTGGAGTTATCAGCAGTAGCAGGCTGCAGGGTTGTTGTGAGAGGTGGTGGGAACAGTGTCGTAGGCCTCCTGGCTGAGTTGTTGGTGTTGTGGAAGGGGAGGGAGCCAGGCCTGAGCGGTATGGTCCCCACAAATCCAGTCTGCACACTCGCCTCCTGTGTATGCCCCCTGCCCTCACAGCATCCACCTTGACAGCCCTTGTTGGCATCCAGCGCCTGTTGCAGCTGCTTCTCTAAGATCTTATTCCTGCGCTCTAACTCGTGCACTTTAGCCAAAAAGCATCTGAACCTCAGATTGAGAGTTTTGAGGACGCTGATGTTGGATCCCAAGTCGTTTCTGAGAGCCATGGCTGCAGGGGGGTGCGGCACAGCGCGGTGCTGGAAGGGAGTGTGGTTGGGATGGAGGAAAGGTGAGGTCTGTGAGGGTGCGGTGAAGTCAGGCCCTCCCTGATCAGGGCCCGGCACAGGCTGCTCACCCAGAAAAAAGGACGTCGGGTCAGCTACACCGAAAACGGTGTCGGGCAGGAGGCCTGAGGGGGAGTCTGGGTGTCCGGGGGCTTGACTCTGCTGCGGATGCTGTTGGAGATGTGTGTTGGCCCCCAACAAAGGATTCATGCTATGGTATGGAAAACTAAAGCGCTGCAGATCTGGCATGAACACGGACGGGAATTATCTAGTCTACAACAGAATAAAATGAATAAATAAGTAGCTGGGAAACGAACGAGAAAGACCCGCGCACAAAACGCCAGTGTTTACCAGATTATATAACCGTTTCTAAATAAGAATCTGATCCTTAAAGCTCAGAGGTCTTAACGTCGGCTGATGGATCAGAGCTCTCTCACCGTCCGTGACAAAACATCCAGTAGCGGCTCCAACAGGGGGGGCTGGCTGGAAGTAGGGGTACAAACTGCTGCAGCGATGGACCAGCCCCTCGTGAGATGTGCTGCTAAAATAAACGCAGTTAAACGAAGGAAAAAAGACGCAGAGGGGGAATGAATAACACTGAAATCCTGTGTCACCGCGTCACTGAAGTTCTGGCAACAAGATGTGACCGCAGGCAGGAGACGGTGCTGCGGGATTGGAAGAGCACGGCTACCGTAAATACCCGACCAGAGGCGCGCTGATCCGTTAACTATTTGTTTACTGTGGAACACCAGACAAGACATCACTGAATTTGATTTGGAGAGGAAATAATTCAGATTTTAATATCCTCCTGAGACCTGAGAATAAATATGAATAAAAACATCAACACTGTCAACAATAATCAAGTCTCGATGTCTTCAAAGGAGTACTTCCTAATTACCAGCACCCCAGCTTGTTACTGTTGCTAAAATTGGTCAAATTAGTTGCCATATCACACTACAAACATTATTAATCATAAATAAACAAGTTGCAACCACAAAATGTGATCAGGTTTTGAACTTTGTCCATTTCTGTGTCGGGATCAGCTGCAGACTGACTTGGCAGAGATGGCTGCCATCTTGTTTTTACATGGATTAGTATATTGTGCTCTTACTGCCACTAGATGGCACAAAAAGTGTCCATGAATGAGGACAACGGGGTATAAGGTCCAGTAAACCCATAATGGGATGTCCTTGTATGAGGACACAGGGTCTCAGGAGGATATGACTGGGAGCCAAATGTGAATTATAAACACAATCTACAATTTAAAAATATATAAAAAAAAACAATTAGATGACTTACCTGACAATTCAGGCACCTGCCCCAAAACACAGAAACATTTAAACTGTCTCTCAACTCGTATGTGGTAGAAAAAAATATATAATAAATTTGCACAATAATGACCCTGTGGTGCGTCCTTTATTTTGAAATCTCGAGGCAAGTTTAAACAAATTAAATTGAATTAAATTGAATTAAATCAAATGAAACACATTTTTGGGGAAAAAAACAGTTATTCAATTTCTGTCAGGGATAAGATGAGAAAGTCATCGCCAGCTTAACCCTTGACACAAAAAATATTGTAATGGTGAGTTGTTGTTTTTTTTAGGATGCTTAATTATGTGTTTTTTTCTCTGTGTATTCCAATGGATGAAGGATCTTAATACAGAAATCACCTAATAGGAAAAATGACAATAAACAAAACAAAACAAATTAAATTATTCATTTTTTATGGATGGATAACTCATGGGTCATTCCACAGAATCGGTGCCGGTAATAAGTCATAAAAAGCTTTAAACAATTAATAAATATATAATTTTAAAAATATAACTTTGCTGTGTCTTTTGCCTGTAATATAATATCAAATTAAAGTCAAATGAATAATGTTTAAAATATTTAAAACAGCTTTATACTGATGAGAGTGAGGTTTTTGGCCTGTCCCTCGCTATAATAGTTTTACTTCAGCAGGTCTTTTAATTTGTAAAATGTGGGGGGAAAGTTGTTTTTTTCCATTTACATATTGTTTTATGTATGACCTTATTGTTAAACAATGTTTTTGGCATAAATATATACTATTTTTTTTAAATATATGTAAATTTATCTGTGTCCCCTGATTTCATGTCAACACTGTTATCCTCACCAAAATACCCCTGTAAAATAATGGTACGCTTTACATATGTATTTTGCATTGTTATCATCATCACGACTCAAAATATCCTTAATTTATGAAGCATCTTCAGGAAGCAGCACACTGAGATGAATATTCTGTGTACATAATCAATAAAATGCACTAAAAGCTGATTGAATCACCAGCAAATCAGAAAAGTATTTGCCCTGTTCATTTTCCTGTGACGCTCAGATCCACCCTCCATTCCAATGGATGAAATTAGGTATCTTCTAATGACATTTTTCCAGAACAGCTATCTGAACTAAAATACACACCTAATCATGTATTTTGGATTTTCTATCTAATATCTGAAAGAAGACTTTGATCCCCCCTTCAGGACCTTCAGTGCTGTGCATATACAGTAGCCTATGTTGCATATTCTGTAATCACTTTGTGTTAAATCAAATAATCCCACAGTAAACATGGCACCAGGCGGCATTCAAGTACGGGAAGCGTGTGAGTGGAGGACTGTGGGGGATTAATGGTGCGTTTGCATCCCTTAGCAGGATAATTTAGCAACCACAACCAAAAAACAGGCCGATGACGATTAGTTTTAACATCATAGAAATGACAAGACAACAAGAAAAGAAAGTCAATTGTTTATCATACAAACATGTATCTATCTATCTGTCTATCTATCTTGTTCTTGTCTTTCGTCCACAGATGCTGCAGTGTCTCCCTGTGTTGCCTTCACTGTCTAAGGAGGAAAAGTCCAATGCACTGGCTCCTACTGACTTATCATTTGCCCAGGAGTCTGTTCCTCCTCCACTCCTGCTCCCTCAGTTCCTCTGTTTCTTTTGATTTCTTTTTTTCTTTCAGCAGACAAGGACATGGGCTTGCAACTTTTCCTCTTCCAACTGTGGCAGTAGGAGAGGCTGATGGTCCCTTCAAGAGAGGAGAAAGAAAAAGAGACTCAACACTTGGACTATTTTTCCAAATTAAAGTGGCAGTTTGCTCTTGGTCCTTACGGTCATATGAGCTCCCCTTCCTCCCCTGCATTCGCCTCCTCTCTGCCTTCTCCTGGCCTAACACCATCACACAGACGTCATCCCTGAACTCCCTGTTCATGATCTGGTAGATTAAAGGGTTAATCATGCAGTGGGACTTGGCAAACATAGCAGGGATCAAGGTGACTACAGGTGGGAAACAGGAGAGTGGCTGAGGGCTCGTGGTCATTAGCTCAGCTTCACTGTCCAGGGTGGACCTGAGCAAGGCGTCACTCAGGTCAGTGATGGAGGCTGAATTCATGTTGCTCACATCGCTCCACTTGTTATCAGTGCTGTAGGAGATTTGTCTGTAATATTCTGTAGCCGTCCAGTTGAGTAATGATGGGATGTTGGTGGTCTCCTCCACCGCAGTCTGTAAAGATGCTTCTTGGTCATCTCTGGGAATGAGTGCAGACATCAGAGACACGGTGGCATAGGGCGTCCAGGCCATGAGGAAGCTGATGCACACCACAGCAGCCATCTGAAATAAACACACCACTTTATTCCTCCTGCAGGAGGTGTATCAATGATTCTGAAAGTGATCTTCACTAAGGTTTACCTTTGCAAGTCTCAGATCTTTGCTGGTGTGGCTGACAGAGGAGGACGGTATAGATGCCAGAGTGCGATTAGATCTGTAGACCTGAAGACAGAAGCAACAATTTAAGGGGCACTCAGGCTGGTATATTTCAATCAACTGAAACTATATTTTTGAATGTTACTGTGTCTAAGAGACTAACAGGAACAAAATCTTTTGAAGTTGGTCCAGTATTGAGCAAGAGCCCTGCAGCTGGCAGCAGCAAAATGGGCTGCAAAGTGATCTTTCATGTCAATAGCTCACCATCTATAAGCGTCAACTAAAAGTGCTCAGACTGCTATGGTAAGTGTCTGACAACATTATGGAAAGGGTCCTACAGAGATTTGAAATATTTCTCTTTGCTTTTCACTAAGGAGAAGTCTTCTCTGAAGTCTTCCAGTTGAGTTGTTGCAGGAAGACAACAGCAAATAGGCCAGGGGCTGTATTAACAAACATCCTGAGAATCCTCTCAGAGACCTCCTAACTTAACCTAAAAACTTTTAGTAAGGAGTCTTAGCTTAGGAGTGATTTTGGAAAGTTTTCAGAGCAACTCTGAGCAAGGAAGGGACAGAAATTTTGACCTTAGTGAGGAGGTGTGGTTGACCCTGTTGCTAAGTGAAATGCTTGCTTTTAACAGATGTGATTGGTTGTCAGAGACACGGCCCTTTTATGAGCCTGCAAGGCGTGGACACCCAGTGGAAATGAAATGAACTGCTGACTGTAAAAGTGTTGTCATTGTTAGTGTGATCACTCTGCTGATGGAAGGTTGAGACGGACTCAAGTCATCACTGCTGCAGTGTGGCATTTTTCCAGTTTTACAAATATCCTAGTATTGTGATCATTTTATTTCTGGCGTTATAGCGTTAGGTGGGAAATGTGTACGTATCCCTAATGACATCAACCACACATATTATTCCAGCATGATCTTACCTGCAGCATTTCATTTACTCACTGTCATCCAGTGTTTGGCGAATATTTGAATAACCTGTATCTTTATAAAGACCTAGTCTTAACTTTAAGGGGAAATTATAAGAAAATGTCACAATCTAAGAATTTATTTTGAATTTTGTCACTAGGAGCAGCTCTTAGTACTAGGAAGCTTTGTGAATACTTTTCAAATACTGTTGTCACTATTAGTCACTTAAGGCCAAGACACACCAAACCGGCATCTAAGAACTAGTGGCAACAAAGACCGACTGTTGCATTGCCTCACATTGCCTGTGTGCTGTGTCTTGGCTAAAAGTTGCATTGAACATATCATAAAGACTACAGCCACTGGCAAACTAACACATATGTTCTGCGCCTGTGTGAGTGGAAATAATTCGCCATGCCAGCAGGAAAGTTCAATGGCTAAAGAAAAACGTTACCTAATATATCAAGTCCAGTCATTTGTTTGCTTTCCTTACTTCCATTTTTCTTCTCGTGATGGCATTTGTTTTAGTTCCTGTCAGCCCATTCACCCAAGTATCCCTGCATACTTGTAAAGAAATTAGCAATCCATAAAATGACCACAAAACAACTGACACACATTGTGACATCTGGGTCAGCGGGTCATTTTCTCTCTTTGCTCATTTGGTACTCCCCTGTACCCCTGAGGAAGTAGTGCCTACAGTGCATTGCTGTCTGCTTTTGTGTCTTTCTCAATTGTATCACTAGGGGGTGCCAGAGGTGCGGTTTTCTCATTCATTTAAAGTGGCTTTAAAGGAGTGTCTGACACATTTAAACAAAAATAATTACAGAATACACACACAGCTCCCAGACCCTTCATTTAGTGTCACGAAGCAGCAGTTGTCCTCACCGTCAGCAGGATGGCCACATATGAAGTGATGATGGTGAGTGTAGGAAACCCGAAGCATAACACCAGGATGAGGAAAATATAGATTCGGTCATTTAGAGATGACCTCATTCTCCACCTTGAAACAGTGACACAGGTAGACTGGTTATCGCTGACATGGTTGTC